TTTTAATAGTAGTTTGTTTTTTAGTATGTTACTAAAAAATAATCTGCTCCGTGCTTCTTTTGGTGTTTTTTAAAAAATAATATTAAGATTAAAACAAAACTTGAAATTCAGAAATACAAACACATCAGGTGATATCCAACTAAGTCATATTCAGAGTCGACCTGTTTATGTCAATGAACTTAAGCCCATTGATTTCAATCTGTATGACTTAGTTGGGTATCACCCAGTATCGCTTTCTAGATATGAAATTATCTGGAACAAAAGAAACACCTTATAATTAAGTTATGTCCTCGTTGTTATCTGCTTGATCTCCGTGAACTTGCTGAGAGTCCAGTCTTTATCTGTGTAAATAAAAAGATAAACGGAAAAAGAAAAAAGGGAAAGAGAAATGGTTGGTTGTCATCTGGCAAGCAGCAAATGAGCTATTGGGTCACAATGACTTGCTTCGGGGAAATGTACAGCTTTAGTACAGAAAGATATCCCACATCCCGTGCTATTAAATGAATATAAGGTATTCCTTCATTTAAGTGTCAAATACTCCTAGAATAGAATTTCTAGTAGTTCTGCCAGCCAGGCATCAGTACCAGGGGAGATTTTGAAGGCCTGTTAAATCAATTGCTTAGCAATTTATATTGAAGTGTTTCACTCTGGCTAGATTGTGTTGTGAATAAATTTACGTAATACCAATTTTAAGACTGGATATAGCAAGCGACTTTTTTTTTAATATAAGGAAATTTGTATCCCATCCTGTCACTGCAATCACAGTATGTGTTATATTATGAGTCTGCACTTGAGACAATCTTAGATGCAACTCATGGCAATTCAGGAGAATTTGCTGTTGTGTTGACACAATAATTAATAATGAGCTTGCAGAAGGGGGGTTATGGGTTTGTTGTCGTTTTATTGTGAATTTTGTGTTCTCATTTTGTACCTTTGTGTTGTGAACCGCCCTGTGTGTTAAGTTGTGGGTGAACATATCAGATGACACAGCGATTCTTCAAACAGCTCTTGTTTATTCCAGGCCAGAACAGAACCGGGCTGAAGGGTTCAGCCAACCTGCTAATATAGAGCTCCATTACAACACAACAGTAACAACTTTCTGTAACTATCCAATCACTGAACATCACTTTCAATTCCTTATTTGCATATGCTGACCTGAGTGAAAACTATCTACAGGATCCCCCTGCTGGCCCAGGGTGAGAACTTTAGTACATAACACTGTGATCTTCAGATGAAGGGTGGCATACAAATTTAATAAAAAGAAGTTAGTCGTGATTTGTACCCCCAAAAGGATAGTGGCCACACATGCACAAGAACTTTGCAGATCATTATCCATTGTACCATACCCAAGTCACTGGGGCAGGGGGAGAGTCCCTTTAGCCATTGTGACTGAGCAGTGCAGAGTGCTCAAAAGAAGTTATCACTCAATGACTCTAGGAAGCTTCCTTCAGACAAGTTGTTTAGCTAGCCCAGTGACGACTGGTGCTGGTGGCTTTCTGGGGTCTCCATCAGAAGTCCCCTTTAAGAAAGTGTTTTTATTATTATCATAACAATTTATTATTTATACCCTGCCCATCTAGTTTCCCCAGCCACTCTGGGTGGATCCCAACAGAATATTAAAAGCACAATAAAACACATCAAACATTTAAAACTTTCCTGAACAGGGCTGCCTTCAAAGGGCTGATATAAAGATGCTGGCAATTAAAATACTTCTTCTAGAACAGGCATAGGCAAACTTGGCCCTCCAGATGTCTTTGGCTTCCAACTCCCATGATTCCTAGCTAACAGGACCAGTGGTCAGGGATGATGGGAATTGTAGTCCCAAAACATCTGGAGGGCCGAGTTTGCCTATGCCTGTTGTGGAATATGCCAACAATGCATAGACATTGAAATATCCATTGCTGGTTTTCTGTTTCTTTCTTTGAAGCTCCACGCAGAATGTGGCAGCTCCACCTAGTGAAGAAGTCTTGGTACAGCCTGGGTCTCTGTGGGATTTGAAATCCCTAATTGTACAAGGACAGAGGCAGGGAAGGAGCAGTGGGAAGGGGGGGGGGCAGATCCAGGCAGACACAGTAAGCCCCGTTAATGTCAGTGGGAGAGAATAAAATACCTCTACCTCTCGTTTAAAAGGCAAGGGATACAGGGCCAGATTTAGGTTTGATGAGGCCCTAAGATACTGAAGGTAATGGGGCCCTTTATAAGTCCAGCTGTCCTTTGTCAACAATAAATTATCGCTGTTTTTTTGTGTTGAACATATGTAATATGGTAATTTATGGACCTCATAGGTATCTCAAGCCATTTGCACATGTTGTCATACAACCAGTCCATGTAGAATGTAGGCACCCTTTACAGTCATACCTCGGGTTACAGATGCTTCAGTTTGTGTGTTTTCGGGTTGCGCACTGCGTTGAACGCGGAAGTACTGGAACGGTTTACTTCTGGGTTTCAGCACTCACGCAGAAGCACCGGAGCGTGACCCGTGCGTGCGCAGACGTGGTGCTGCGGGATGCGAACGCTGCGGGTTGCGAATGTGCCTCCTGCACGGATCACGTTCGCAACCTGAGCGTCCACTGTATATAGAAATGAGCAAACTAGTGATATTTGAGGGAGCAGGTGCGACCCATTACTGACATCAAAGGAGCCTACACAACACAAAACACTGTTGCTATATGCAGGTTTTATTTTATTTGTTATTTTATCTTATATTTTGGAAATGAACATCCAGGGTTTTTTTCTTTAATTTTTTTGGGGGCCCCCAAGAGAGTGGGGCTCTAAGCTATAGCTTGCTTAGCTTATACGTAAATCTGGCACTGAAGGGATAGCAGAACAGGACATCCTAACTGTGGCATAAAGTAGATCAAGCTACAACTTCTAATATCAACTGAGGTTGATTGTATGCGCTAATTTGTAAAGTTTCTAGTTCCTGGTAATAATATGGATGTTATCTTTGAAGACAGCAAAAGTATTATATACATAAATATTGCCATTTAATCTGGCTAATAAAGTTTGGGTGCTAAAGGTTGGTGCAGAACTAAACTGAATATCAATAGGCTGGATCTCTCAAGTGTTACACAGATGGCATTCCCGGGATAGAATAATAATGAATCTTAAGCACCGTATTGTAATGGCTTTTGGGCAGCCCTCATAGCATATATTTGATTGCCTTTCCAGGAGAACAGTGCTGCCATCTTGGCTTTAACATAACTTCAGCATTGTAATTAGAGCCATCAACTTTAATTCCTGCTGGGGTTTCGACTGTATGAAGCATTCTTCCTTTCCAGGATGCAAAGAAATGCGTCACTGCTTAATTAGGATATGAATTGAATTTCTTGGTATTCTGCATAATCGCTGTTTGAAAACTGCTGCTGTTATACACACACACAACTATCCCAATGTTAATACATCACAGCAAGTGTGGAGAGCTTTTGCTATAAGCCCCAGCAAGCACAGCCAATGACCAAGGACAGGCATAAGCAAACTCAGCCCTCCAGATGTTTGGGGACTACAATTCCCATCATCCCTGACCACTGGTCCTGTTAGCTAGGAATCATGGGAGTTGCAGGCCAAAAAATCTGGAGGGCCGAGTTTGCCTATGCCTGACCAAGGATGATGGAAGCTGTAATTCAGCAACATCTGGAAGGCCAAAGATTCCTCACACCAGTCTTACATAAATACTAGAGGCTCACAGTGAAAGACCGATAGAAGATTTGGTTAATTAAAATCAATATGTAGCATTCAGTTTCCTTAGCCCTTGAAGAACAGCTGGTTCCTGCATCTTTAATAGTTCCTTAGGAAAGGGAATTGACAAGCTCCAGCTGCTGAATTTCCTTCTTCTCAGCAGCTGCATTAAGTGTGATCCTTTCTGTGTCTGCATCGTCCAATGTTCTGATATCAGGCAAGGTCAAATATCCCCCCCCCCCCATCTATAAATGTAGATAAATCTCCCCTTTTCTCCTGAAATGAAAGTCAAGACCCACAGGGTCCTGAAAGATGCCGTTCCTTGATGCTGTGTATAATGATGGTGCTACTTGTGTGAGGTTTTTGCTGCACAAAACCAAGGCCTTCTATTCTGAATTTTTACATTTTTAAATAACCTCCAGCAATTGATGTGACTTGCAGATCTCCTCATGTGGCAGTATACCTGCCAGCAGACTTTAAGAGAATTAATTGCAAAAACTTTTTCATGTCTTCAACAGAAAACATAATGGAAATTGATGGAGTGAAGATTAAAGAGAAAAGTAATGGTGAGACTAAAGATAATCCTGCAGTCAAGAAGAAAGTGGTAAGTCATACATTTTTACACTTTGAAATACAGTACTTAAATGTGTTAATGGTACACTCAGTTTAGAAGCAAAGAGATGCAGTTATTGATAATGGCCAATTTCTTTAAATTCAAATATTATACAATGGATAGACATTAGATTATGATTTTTCAGGGTTTTGCACTCATTTTGCCAAGCTCTCAACCTTTTCCTAGTGTCGCTTAGATTTTGGTTTTATCTGCACTAAACATTTAAAGCACTCTTGTACCAATTTAACAGTCATGGCTTCCCCACCCTCACAGTCCTGGAAACTATAGTTTATTAAGGGTGCTGAGTGTTGTGAGGAGACCCCTCACAGAGCTACAATTCCCAGCACCCTTCACAAAGTTCTCAGGATTCTTTGGGAGTAAGACATGACTGCTGATTTAAATGCATCCGTGTGGATGTGACTTGACGCACACTTGCAAATTTGCAGCTCCCCCCTTCAGCTGCCAGCAAGGGCAGCTGAGAGCTGGCAGACATGGGAGCTGGGCTACCAGTGGCCTCATGGACCTCATGGAACACGGTACAACTGCCAAGGCTGCTGTGATTGATTGGAGTGGTCCAACAGCTTCTAGCTTGTCTACATACCTTGGACACTAGGAGAGGAGGAACTGGATTGTGTCCTTGATCTTCTTTGTATTGGCTGCACAGCCAGAGTTCTTTGATGGAATCTTAAGCCTGGATGATGAGATACTACATAGCTCAGTTGACAGAGCGTGAGGTTTTTAATCTCAGGGTTGTGGGTTCGAGCCCCACATTGGACGAAAGATTCCTGCATTGCAGGGGGCTGGGCTAGATGACCCTTATGGTCCCTCCCAACTCTACAATTCTTTCTCTCTCTGCGTGTGTTATCCCTGATTGGTGCTGCACTTCCAAACAGACCACCAGGTCAGGGAGGCTGGGCTGGGGCAATGATCAGCTTCCACAGCCTAGTAGCTGTGGAAAGAGATGGAGGCTTGTCATACATGCTAGAGGTCATTTGGGCACGCTCTATGGTGAGCACAATTGTGGACCTCTGGATATTTGCTGTGCAAACTCTCTTATGGGGAAAAACCACCCCTGACATAAATAATGCAAACAGAAATAAATCATCACAACCAGAAGGTATTGCGGAGGAAGAAAAAGGGCTGATTCCGACACACTGTGGAGAACTTGTGGTTTGGCTTCAAAACCAGTAATGGCACTGAGGGTCATTCTTTTTTTTCTTTGGCTCAGAATATGATCCTCGGTGATTTCTGTTGCTCGCTTTCAGCACAATGCTGAACACTGGAGACCTGCAATTAAAAGACAATTTAGAATTCTTGAGGGTAGGGACCCTTCTGCAAATATTCTCTACTCTTCTCGCAGTTGCTTGTCTCTATCGTCAATGAGTCTGTTGAAGTTGACTTGCGCTGTTCAAAACAGAATCCAGGCAGCAAAGTAACACAATGGAAGGTCTGTGCAAGACTGACCAGGAAGGACTGCTTTATCTATTCTTTCCACTTTGCTAGAAAGAAAATCACTTAAGGCCCTTCCAGACTAGTGCTTTTCTGAAGGTGTATTATGCAACTTGTCGCTGACATAACAATAGTGCATCAGTGATGGATTTATACTGGACCATCCACACATCACTGTGCTTTATTAGTTGCTCTGCAATCCTTCTCCAAAGTTACTGTGTTTTTGCTACCTGGAGGGGAGGTGCAACAAAAATGGGACACCTCCCCCACCCAGAATAATTATTGTATGAAAAGTTACACGATTTTAGTAGGAAACTATGGGTCATTCACCTACTGTAAACAAAGCGATATGGCTGCCACAAAACTTTCGTGGGCACAAATGGTGTTGAAAACATGAATGTGTATACCCAGCCCAGAACAAATCATGATGTCTGACTCTGGAGAGGCTTGGGGTATTATCTTCCTTAATACCTTGGGTGCTACAAGAAAACTTTGAAAGAATCAGGCATGCACTCATTCTACTCTGCCTTAACTCTAGAAATGACTGTAAAATGTCAATGAACCCAATCCAGGGATTTGCAAGGCACCTATACTTTTGGGACCTCTGTGTTAGTTTTCTGGGCTAAAAACAAGCTTGTAATGTGACCCCCCCCCCTCACACCAAAGTACAGATGTACCTCGGAAGTCGAACGGAATCTGTTCCAGAAGTCCGTTCAACTTTTGAAAAATTCAGAAACCAAGGTACGGCTTCTGATTGGTTCCCGATTGCGCAGGTATGCGGGGAACAATAGCGGAAGCCACACCACACGTTTGGCTTCTAAAAAAAGTTCGAAAACCAGAACACTCACTTCCGGTTTTCGATCATTCGGGAGCCAGAACGTTTGACTCCCAAGGTGTTCAGGAACCGACGTACGACTGTAGTTGAGAATGGATTGGTGTCCTTTAGCTGCCTTTCCTGGCAGCCTGATAGGCATTTATAGCTGGGTGTGGCAGGATGGTGTGTGTGTTTCACACAGAAAGTGTTGGATTCTCTTGCCTCTTCTGGCCAGGACTCAGTAATGTTGTTATTGTTGGTTTCTGTCTTGGGAGACAATGGAGGAGTACACCTTTGGGGGTGAAGTCAAACCATTTGAGAGTTACAGTTCCTGCTGTGGCTGCAGAAACCGATACAGGAGAGACATATTTTGCTGCAGCCGGGGCAGAGGAAGGTGTCTGGCTGTGCTGATGCAGATCCACTATGGCATTTCTGCAGGGGGTTGGATTAGATGACCCTTGGGATCCCTTCCAACTCTACCACTCTATGATTCCATGGTCACTGTTGAATTCTGGACCAGATATAGTTTCAAAATATTCAAATCTGGCCCCACAGTGTAAAAATTGAAATTGCAGAAAGTACAAAAAGTATACCTTTCCTAAACTGGAAGCTACAACAATCCAGCTACAATAGGGGATTGTTGTGTTTGTGTTATATGTAAACACTGTTAATGGGAGCAAGAAGGAAGAAGAAAAGTTGTGTCTACATTATAACCAACATTTTTAAATCAGAGTTTTATATATTGATTTGTGGCATAAACCGATTTGAAGCTTACAAGTGAAAAAGTCCCAGTTCACATCCAATTTCCTGCAAAGGGGTGCTTACTATGTGGGGCAGTTCATGGCCATGACATTCATCCACCATTAATCTGGCTTTGCTTTAGGATGTTTGCACGTCTTCCTGTTAACCATTTGTTTGCCCCACATTTCCCCCAGTGCCTTTCTCCATCGCTTTCCAGACTGCAAAGTTCATGTTCTACAGTTGATTTGTTGCGTTCGAGCAACAGGGCATGCATGTGCAAGCCTAAAGTTTTGGTATGCGCTTGAATCCCTCCTGCCAAACAGCCTGGAGGTAACCTGCAAGAGTGATGATGCCGCGACTCCCCGGCGCAGACCCCCCCCCCCTCCTGAAGATGTTGCCCCTTCAGACATGACTTGAGAACATTACACAGTGCACAAAACAAGCGTGTGGGGTTTTTCCCCCTTTTCCTTAATCGGATGTAACATGACGCAGCGCAGCCGTTGCATAACATGCTGAGAAGCGGAGCTCAGCCATGTGCTCGAGAACAATCGGATTCTTTCACCGAAGGGAAGCGGCAGGCAATAAGCGAAGCGCCTCCGACGCACCCGGTCTCGTGGACGGGGCTTTCCTCGCATCCATCCCCACCCCCGGCAACCCACTCGGGAATGTTTCTAAGCAGCCCGACATTGAGGGGTGATCTTGCGACCCCTCTCCGTGGCTCCGCAGCAACTAGCCAAAGCTATTTGGAGCGGCGCACGGCAGAGGGAAGCCCCTTTCCCAAAGCGTCTCGCCCCCCCCCCCCCCCGCCCCACCATGCCGGCGAAGCCCGGGCTGCCGCCGACTGCGCCCCGGTGGCTGTGCGGCTGGACTCCGGCGCCGCTCCGAATTTGCGCTGGCCGGATCTGGCGGAGAAGGCGGTGCAGGGCCGCTCCCTCCCCCGGGCTGCTGAGCCGCGGGGCCCGGCGGCGCCGCGCCTCGCTCCACCTTTGCAACGCCCCGCCCGCCTGGCGCAGCCAAGCAGGTACCGGGGCGCCGCCGCCGCCGCCGCTGTCCATGTGCCCCGGGCGCGCCGGAGGAGAAGGCCCCCGCCGCCCCCAGCATGACCAACCTCGACCCGCTGCTCCGCACGGGCAGCCAGAGAGGAAGGCGAAACGTAAGGAGCCCCGCCGCGCGGCCCCGGGCTGGCTGGTCCGGGCTGCGGAGCCCGGCGCGCACAGCTGCGCTCCACGTGGCTTTTCCGCGGCTCCCACCCGCGCGAAAGGCGGTTTGGGCCGAGGGCGCTTGCATTTCCCGGGGCGGGAAGGCGGGAGGGGGCGCGGAAGAGACGCTCTTCAGATGGGGGGCAGGTGGCGAGAGCGCGGCTGCCCTCTCTCTGGTCTACAGGATACTGGAAAGGGCGCTTTGCACCAGCTCAGAGGCCAGCGTCACAACCTGCGGCTGCGCGCGCGCGTTTCAGTGGGGAGATTCTTGCACAGAATAATCCCCCGAGACAGAAGAGCAGGCGCGATCCCTTGGGGACTCGTCCTGCGCCAGCCCGGCTCTTGGGGGGGGGGGGGGGAGGGGGGCTGGCACAGGGCTCCAAGCAACATTCAGAGGGGCAGCGGGACTTGCACCAGAGCCCTGCAGACGCGGACTTCTGCTTTGGCGCAACAGCTGTTGGATAGCAGAGCTAAAAATACTGCCCGCCCAGGGTCCTGTCGCCCAAGGAGAAGAACTGTATCGGAATGAGCTGGCTGGTTATTATTAGCCCTCTCTGCGAAGGGGCAGAAAGAGAGGAAGTGTAAACAGAGCAGGCAGAGAAAGTTCTCTGCTCTCTTCTTCCCTCCCACCAGTTTTAATCTCTACCTGTGAGCTCCACTAAGCCCTTGACTTAACCCTTTAGCTGTCATTCCCGGCTGAAAAGAAGCCTCAGTGCTTGTGAACGAGCTGCAGTTAAGCACATCCCTCCGGGATTATGCTCGCTTCTCCCAGTGCCAGCCTCAAGAAGAGCCCAGTTGGCTTCCCCAGACCAGGGCCAACGCTGAACATTGTAAAATTGGGGGTGGGGAGGAATTTGTACAGTGGTACCTCGGGTTAAGTACTTAATTCATTCCAGAGGTCCGTTCTTAACCTGAAACTGTTCTGAACCTGAAGCGCCACTTTAGCTAATGGGGCCTCCTGCTGCTGCTGCTGCGCCGCCACTGCACGATTTCTGTTCTCATCCTGAAGCAAAGATCTTAACCCGAGGTACTTTTTCTGGGTTAGCGGAGTCTGTAATCTGAAGTGTATGTAACCCGAGGTACCACTGTATTTTGCTTGTCTTGCCTTAAAGTGTGCCTTTACTGGTCTTTATGTCTTTATCAACATAGTATGCATGAACAGGAACAGTACCATACATCTACCCCTGCAGAATTTTGACAATTACTGGTGTAACATGTGCACACACCATACATTTAAAGCACATTCTTCCACCCAAGAATCCTGGGAACTATTGTTTGTCTCCCACAGAGCTGCAGTTCCAGAGCTGCAGTTTAGCAAACTACAGTTCCCAGAATTTTATTGGGGGGGGTATTCTTTAAATCCGGAGTGCATATATGTAATCAGCGGTTAAAGGAATAAGCTAGGAAGTTCTCCCTTCAAATCATGATGAGGATGAGCCTTAAACTTTCCAGCTGCCTTGTACACACACCCGTCCTCTGAGCCACACTCCCTGTTTTACATGCAGGGCCACAGCTGTGGGGAGGGCTCAGGGAGATTCCAGGTATCTTCCCCAAATTTTCAGTTTATTTTTAAAATAAAAGCCCCTTTATATGTGCAGATTGTATTGTGAATGAACCTGCAGTGCCTGGGCAACGAGGGCAAAGAAACTGCAATAATTGATAAGCATTGGGCCCTTATTTTTAATTTTCAGAAAATAGCATGTTACTTTAACTGAATTTAATTAGATCACTTTAAACCTTGGTTCTTCTGCTCTGGTTCTTCCAAGCAGTAGCGGGCAGCCTGGTGGGCTGGCCGTGCTCACTTGACCTTTGGTCAGTCATGTTTCTGGTGCTTGCCAGAAGGTAGAAGGGGTGGGGAGGGAGGTCATCACAGCGCACCTCCCACCGCCTTGCCGCATCCCCCTCTCATCCAGGATAAGGTCAAGTGAGAGCTGGCATCTCACCACACCATCTGCTCCTGTTCCAAGTTCTTGAGTCCTTTCTCTGAGTCCCCCCACTCAACGCCTTGACTTTTGATGTCCCACAGAGATCATTGTTGTCTCCCATCGATGTGAATGTGCTGGGAGAGATTGAACAGCACTTTTAGAGTGCATTGTTATCAATATGTGGGTGGCATGCAGATTTCTCCTTTCTATAATGTGGTAACTCCGAAAATTCCGTTATCTGAGTGGCGAAGAGGACCTCCCCAGGAACAGGGGTTCAGATTGTTTTGAATTGCATAGCTCTTCCCTTTAAAACAACAACAACACAGATTTGTAGTTTGGGGTCCTTCTGGCTCTTGTTTTTGCTATGTCCTGTTCAAAGTGGCTATAGCCAGAGTGGTATCTGACCAGCTTCAGGTGGTGCACCAACTATTCCTGTTCCTTGAGAGGTCTGGCCTAGCCACGGTGGCACATGTCTCAGTCACATATGTTGTCAGAACAGAACATAAAAAATGGCAGCATGCTGATCAAAACAAAGTTTTGTGCCCTGTTTAAGCGGCAGAGTACTTTTCTGATTAAAATAAAGGATATTGTCAATCACAAGTACTGTTTAATTGGAACCTCTGCATCTTTTGAAGAATGTGGAGTAGTGAGTTTCGCCTTGCAACAATCCTTCAAGGTTTGTTAAATTTTGTCTGTGCCATGGAAATACTGGCCCGTCTTAAGGTATCAATCTCATCCTCCATCTGCCTTCTATTTATTTATTTGTATGTATGTATATCATGCATTTGAACACCCAGTGTTGGTGCTTTGCTAACAAACTATGACAGGCTATTATTAGCACAAAATCTGGACTTTAGGCTTGGTGAAACACCGTATGCTGAGTTCATGGTTACCAGCAATCAGATACATTACCTATGGACTTTTCATAACTCTGCTCTGTTGTCACTTTAATCAAATCCATCACCATGACAATAGGTCGGCCCAAATGATCTGCAATGGACAGGTGCCAGGAAACTGGTGAAAGCTGAGCTGTTACATAGCTAAAGTGAAGATGAGAGAAGGAACCGCCACAGTTTTAGCTGCTCTCTGGAAATGGCTGCTTGAAAAACACTTCTACGAAAATCTGTATGAGACGACAAAGCACAGTCAAAATCTCATTTCTAATCTGAAACTCTCAGGGAGTCTGCTCTAATGCCGACAGTGGATTAGAGCAAACAAATTGGTGTGGGCATGTTTCTAGGCTGTCTAGCTACTCATTAAGAGAAAGTTACACATTTTAAAATAGCATTTAAGACGTTTTTTATCCTGCCCTTCAGCCAACTGGTTCCCATGGTGCTTTATGACACAACCTTACGAGACAGTTCAAAAGTGGTTGTGTTTCTTTAATAGTTTAATAAAAGCTTACTTTGACAACCACAGAAGCTTGTGGGACTGCGGAAAGGTTCTGAGGGCATTTTGCCAATACTCTTATGGAAAATGGCAGGGCCAGGTTGGGATTTGCAAGTTTTGAAGAAATTTCCAAGAGCATGTTGATCAAAAGTTGCTAATGTGTTCCTTAAAATAATACATACCCAGAAGTCGTAAGCTTGGATCAGGACATGAGTCGGGTCTTGTTTATTAATGTGTGGGGACCAATTAATGAGTGAAATGGTTAGTTTAGGACATGTCTTTGAAGCTGATTTGGGTCAGCTATATTACTGTGACAGGAAGTGGAAATGAATGCAGATTTATTTAAATGCATTTACTTGTTTGTTTGTTTGATTGATTTCTCAGTTTAAAGGCTGATCAATGAGCAACATCCCTACATAATATGCTTGTGCAAACATTTTGAAGAAGATATTTTCAGTACCTGCTACGCCAGAATATTTTAGTTAACTGGAAGAATTTATGTTTATGATGTCTTTTGATTATGAAAGACGATATAATAATGTTTTAAATACAGATGCTTATTCTAAAATTATTATTTCTTATTGTACTAGTTATAGCTCATATAGAATTTGGTAGGGTATTCCCTGCCCCCCATCTTTATTTCTACAAACAGTGCTCAAAAGATATGGTACTTGTTCCAAAGGATGGATTTTAAAGCATCCTTTGTTGTAAAAACTGTAAACCATATTTTTATTAAAAGCCATTTGTGATTTGCCCTCACATGGGCTCCTCTTTTTCCTTTGAAAAGAGTCAATGGGGCAACTCAATTAGATGGGGCGGCATATAAATAAATAATAATGATTATTATTATTGATTGATTTAGAATATCTCAACCGTTTCCATTTTTCTTTTTTCATGTTAGGACTGGTCTGCTAGTCTCATTGTTGCTTCTTTGGCTGGAGCCTTTGGGTCCTCCTTCCTGTACGGCTACAACCTTTCAGTAGTGAATGCTCCAACCGTGGTGAGTGAATAAAAGTTCTCAAACCTCTAAGTCCAGGTTGGCCCAGTTTGGTGCAATCTCTCTTGTTACATATGGGATTGTTAGTTTGATGGAGAAACAGAATCATACTTTATCAACCACCAGCCACTGCAATTTATATACATAGCACATCAAACTTTGAAAGTTACCAAGTTAACCATTATACAAATTTGAGTCTTAAGTGCCATAGTGACCCTTAATTTCACGTCAGCTGCTGAAAAAATTGTGGACTTGATTGTCACCTCATTGTTTCAGCCTGCAAGGGAGAAAAGCCACGTCAAAATCAGCTAAATGCCCCAGTGAGATGATTATAGTGGAGTAATTAGCTCTTTCCACAAATATCTGTAAAATGAGTTGAAATAGCAAATACATCACTTCTTGGACTTTTGACAAAGAACAAGCATAGTTTTATGATTAATTTATCCTCGCTTACTTTGCATCATACCAAATATCTTCTAATATTCAAAACTAAATAAACTGCTAACCTTGTTGTAGCCATTCATTCATTTTTATTTTTGTAATTAAAAGGAACCATGCCCTAAGTCCAGTAGAGGGCAATATAACCACAACATTTCACATGTATAAAAACATTGTAGTACAGTAGAAGCTCAGTTGTCAAACCTAATCTGTTCCAGAAGACCGTTCAACTTCCAAAACATTCAACAACCGAGGCTCAATGGATGGTTGACAAAATCAATTGGAAAAAATGGAGAAACGCACCTCGGGAGCCATTCAACTTCTGAGGCACGTTTAAAAATGGAAACATTCACTTCTGTGTTGTCAGCATTCGAAAGCAGAAACGTTTGACTTCCGAAGCGTTCGACAACCTAGGTTCCACTGTATGTTTATTTCTCGTATTTCTTACTTCCCAGGACAAGTTACATGAACTAAAATACAATCAAAAAGTAAAGCATAATCAAACTATAAGACAAGAACAATATTTGTCACCATCATCATTATATTTGTACCCCCACCCATCTGACTGGTTTGCCCCAGCTACTCTGAGTGGCTTCGAACACATATAAAAACACAATGAAACATCAAACATTACAAACTTCCCTATACAGGGCTGCCTTCAGAAAGTCGTAGAATTGTTTCCCTCTTTGACATCTGATGGGAGGGTGTTCCACAGGGCAGGTGCCACTACCAAGAAGGCCCTCTGCCGCATTCCCTGTAGCTTCACTTCTCACAGTGAGGGAACCACCAGAAGGCCCTTGGAGCTGGATCTCAGTACAGTCATACCTCAAGTTGAAGTTGCTTCAGGTTGAGCGATTTCAGGTTGTGCTCCGCAGTGACCCGTAAGTAACGGAATGCATTACTTCTGGGTTTCGCCACCCGCGCGTGCGCAGATGGTCAAAATGACATCACGTGGAAGCGGCGAATCGCAGCACGCGCAGACGCGGGTTGCGTTTACTTCAGGATGCAAACGGGGCTCTGGAACAGATCCCGTTTGTATCCAGAGGTACCACTGTATCTGGACTAAGTGATGGGGGTTTAAACAGGGCTGAGGCCAGAAATATATTTTGAGCCAATGTAGATGCTTTAGGTCTGTTGATATATGGTCCCAGTGACCACTGCCAGTCAGCAGTGTAGCTGCCACATTCTGCATTAATTGTAGTTTGCCAACAAAGGGACATGGCAAAGCGATGGTATCAGCAATATACAAAATACTACTCCAAAACCCCACGAACCCCCTAGACGCAATCAAAAAAACAATGGGAGGACAACATAGGCTATGAGATTAACCCCACCCAGTGGACCTGAATATGGTCTAAACCCCCCTTTACATCCATATCAACAAAAAGGAAAGAACTCACCACACATGTGGTGGGAGTGCCCCAAAATTCTGGACAACAGCCATACAAAAATATGTAAAATAACTAAGCAAGTACTAGAAATCACCCCAGAATTGGCCCTACTAAACATCTTCCAAGACAATAATGCCCATTTACATCACAAAGAACTCATAACCCACCTACTCTCAGCAGCCAGAAACATCATAACCAGACACTGGAGAGACCTGTCAGGAGAAAGCATGGATCAATGGTACCAAACAGTATGGGAAACAGCCTTACTAGAAAAATTAACCAATAAACTGAAACTGACACGGGGACAAATAGAAGAAGACGCCTTCACCCCGGTATGGCTCCCCTTTATCACATACACAGCCCAACAGGACAATGACAATAATCCACCAACAGCATACAAATCAATATGGCTAAGCTGATCCAAAACACCCACCCATCCCACTCACACACGAAAACAAAGACCACCACAACCAACCACAAATAAACAACCACACCCCAGGCCAACCCCAAAGTCTCTCACCACCAAAGGAACACAAGTGAACAGCAGAGAACCTGCACAAGCAACGCTGACACCAAACCCCACACATATATTAAGTAAAACAGAAACATTGCCACCCAACCCCATATGCACTCTTCTTCCTTCTCTTTCCCCCACATATTTTCATGGCACCATTAGATTGCTACTATACTCTGATTAAACTTATTTTCCATGTCTAGCTAAAAATGGGTTTCGGCAATCGGCCTCGCTTGTCTTGCCCTGCTATCAGCTCTATCAGCCATGCAAGTGGTTTGCTGTGAGTACGTAGATTCTTTTTAAGGAGGAGGAAATCCCTGGCAGGGCAGATGCCATTGCCCTTGTAAAAAGGTGGTTTTCCTAGGGTGAGGCTCATCCATTGCACTTGCAGGTATGCTGACCCCTACGATTTCCCCCATCATGGGAGAGTCAGCTGCATAATTTCTTCCTTTAAAGGAGAAGAAGATAAACTTCTAGGTCTGGTGTTGGTGTTTCTCTGCAGTCACAGAAGCAGGCACCAGTGGCTCTGCCGTGAGTTGTTTTTGGTGGTGAAGCTGTTGGCAGATTGTGACAGTGGCTCATAGGCAGCAGAATAGTACATCATGTGCTTTTGGCAGAGGGTGGGACTGTCATTCCCTCAGAACAGACTCCCCCCCCCCCCATCAATAAAGGAAAAGCCAACCTTTACTGACTAACACAACTAACAACTCAGTCTTGGACACTCCTGAGTACAAAGAGACTTCCAGGTCAATCCACACAGAAAGGAGAGAAAGTTGTACCCCAGAATGAAGAACAGAACAGTGGGGAGGGGAGGGCTGAATTTGGGTGGAAGGGGGGGCATAGGCACAGAAGAGGAGTTAAAAGACAGGGGAGAATGAGATAACCCAGAACCCATGATACATTGCAAATACAGCGGTGCAAAGGCATGTAATGGATTTAGAAACCCTTTTTGTGTTACTATTGTGTAGTGGAAAAGCAGATTTTAGTTTCACATAAGTTGACTTGTCACAGTAGAAATGTGAATATGTTTCCATGGGAAAAGATGAAGACACAAACGACCTACAAAGCAATTTGTGAGATGGATTATCCCATAGTTACTGGCTCATCCAGGAGCTCCAAGATTGCTTCTATGCCTGGGAGACACCCCACTCCCCCAAAAAAATTAGTGGGCAAAAAATGTCCTTTGACACATCCTTCTAACAAGTGCCTAATAGATGTTGTTCTCAAACTTGCAGCTACGGAAGCTGATTTAGCAGATCTTATTGCTGCAAAATGCACTTGTTCTGGAAGCCTCAGTAGTTCCACGGCTACCAGGAAGCAAATGGAGAATTGATAGAAGAGTTCGCTCTGCTTTGGGCCTCATATTCTCACCCTCATTGCTCCTGTGGCAGAGTCTGTCGCTTTGGGGAGTTCTAGTTAACATCAACGATGCTCAGTTGGATGTATGGAATGACCTCACTTCCTGTATGTCCCTTTCTGCCCTTTCTATGGATTTCATACCCCTTGGCTCTCTGCAGTCCACCAGGCTTCACTTAATGCTTACTCTATGCTCTCCTTTAAAAACAATTATTCAGCTCTCCCGTCTTGGCTCAGATGCTTGTTTGCTTTATTATTTACTTACTCATTTTTATCCTGCCCTTTGCCTATCAAAACCATTGGGTGGTTTCCACTTCCATAAAATATAGCACCTTGTAAAATACAACAATAAAATGGGAGGCCATCGTTGAAACGGCAGTGACTCCCAGGCTTCTAGCATTCGCATAGAAACACCTGGAAGTGGAGTCCCTCTCCCAATGTCTAGCTGACAAATGCCTTTTCCTCTGTGGTTTTGGCTTCTTTGACTGGCTGTTGTGTTCTGCTATGGTTTATTTTTACTCCATCCTCATTTAAGCAATTAAAACACTTTCACCCTCAGACCCTGGGAGCCAAACGGGATGTTCCCAAGCTTGTTGGCTTTCTCTCAGAGGTCAGTTTAACAGCTGCTCTGCAACCTTTTCCATAAGTACCAGCAGTCTGGCTCCATTCTCCGTTGCTGGCTCTGAACATCAAGAAAAGGTTGTGGAGCAACTTTTAAACTCACCCCTGGGGGAATGCGGGCAGAAGCTGGCGAACATCTGGTTTGGGAGGAATCTTCCCTAGGAAATGTAGCCTGCTGTTGGGAAACAAATTGAGAGCATATGGGTTTTCAGATGGAAATCAGTCAGTCTAGCATTGCATCACAGCAGTTAAAGCTTAGCACATACCTGCCAGAAGCAGTGTGCCAGGTTCTGCGTGCCCAGCTGTTTCTGATAGTAGCACATAGTATGGTTTGCTATTATTCAGCTGGAATGCTGGAATTAGTCATGGTGCAGTTGTGTTTATCTCGCACCTTTGACCCCATTACTTGCACTTTGCTTGCTGGTGAAATCCATTACATGCTTCAACAGTTTATCCAGTAAACATTGGCAGTAGTACATTCAGCAGGTGATATCTTCGGCCTCTCTTCTGTAGAATTGTGGCAGGTTAGGAGGCTGTAAGAAACAGGTACTTTTACTGTACAGGACTTTTATCATGCTACCAACAGCAGCACCATTCCCTCCGGTAGCAACTTGAGGGGATGAGTGCTTTTCTGTCTGGAAGTGAAATGCGGGCACCCAAAAGTATTTGTTCAAGCCGCTCCCAAGAGCAGCCTTTGCCAACCTGTTTTTTTGGACTATAACTCCTGTCAGCCCCAGGCAGTTGCAGGTAATTACATAACCCCTATCAGCACATTCCGGGTGTTATTTTGGAACAATTTTAAGAATATAACCTTCAAGCAGCGGGAATGATACAATCAGCATCGCTCTTAGGGGACAGAAGTTTCAAACATCAGCAGCTCATAAAAGTCATGATTTGTTCAGTATGGAGCTTGTGAGTTTCATGAAATACCACAAAATAGCAAATAGCACCATTATTGCTCAAGGATCAGCCTTCAGAAACTGCTTCCATTAAACGTTGTAGAAAAAAGCACAATCTCAATACAGTTAATAAGAGCTGGCAAAATGTCAGTCATCAGAACACACGTAGTGTCCATGTTCATTAGTGTCTCCAGACTTTTCATTTGGCAGGATTCTTGGTCATGTGGAAAGAGCCCTCCATCTATGCCCTGTGCTCATTCATTGTGTGCACCAATATTAGTTTGTATTAAATTAGGGTTTTAGTTGTTGTTTTTAAGGACACAAAATATAACTTGAAATTTTTTAAAACGCAAGTATCAGTTTAAATAAACCTGACTTAAAATTTTAAATGGTAGATTTCAAATGATATTAATCTGTACTGAACATCATGGTTCTAATCACTTTAAATGTTGTTGTTTGTAGTTTGTAAAGAAGTTTTACAATGAAACTTGGGAAAGAAGATATAACCAGTCCATCCCAGAAGAAACGGTTACCCTGCTCTGGACTATATCTGTTTCTATTTTTGCCATTGGTGGGCTTGTGGGGGCTTTAATTGTTACTCCAGCTGTCAAGTATTTTGGCCGGTAAGCAAATAAATGTGTCTTGTGATTTCCTTTCCTTTCCTTTTCTTTTCTTTTGTAATATGATGACTCAAAAGCAAGAAAAACAAATGCTTTTCTCTACTTTGCACTTCTTTTTACTTCTATATGCAAGACTCTTGCCTTTAAAAATGTAATCTAGGTACTTCCCAAGATCAAATAGTTATGGTTACATTGACACCAAGTAATAACTTATATGAAGAAATGAATGAGGTTTTTAAAAAATCGAAATAGAAGGGTTCCCCCTCCTATATGGTCATGCTGCTTCTTTGATATTTGGTCTTATTAATGAGCTAATTTTTATTAAAAAGCAGAGACATCACCTTGCCAACAAAGGTCCGTATAGTTAAAGCCATGGTTTTCCCAGTAGTGATGTATGGAAGTGAGAGCTGGACCATAAAGAAGGCTGATCGCCGAAGAATTGATGCTTTTGAATTATGGTGCTGAGGGAGACTCTTGAGAGTCCCATGGACTGCAAGAAGATCAAACGCATCCATTCTTAAGGAAATTAGCCCTGAGTGCTCACTGGAAGGACAGATCCTGAAGCTGAGGCTCCAAGACTTTGGCCACCTTATGAGAAGAGAAGACTCCCTGGAAAAGACCCTGATGTTGGGAAAGATTGAGGGCACAAGAAGGGGACAACAGAGGATGAGATGGTTGGACAGTGTTCTCGAAGCTACAAACATGAGTTTGACCAAACTGCGGGAGGCAGTGGAAGACAGGAGTGCCTGGCGTGCTCTGGTTCATGGGGTCACGAAGAGTCAGACACGACTAAACGACTAAACAACAACAACAATTTTTATCATTTAAATGTTACCAATAACGCAAAAGTGGAAAGCTGCATGTTTTGTGCTGTATCTTTCATGCTGCACTGAACATTGTCATATTGTGTATGTCTGTGAGAAGATGCTCAGTTGACCACTTCCCTATTGGAACATCAGAAAATCACCTTTAAAAATGTGTCATCGGAATATATGCAGCTGCCTTCAGCTGAATCAGAGAGACTTGATCTAGTTTAACAAAGTTTATCTGCCCCACTGTGTCTGGAGATGCCAGGATTGAACCTTCTGAATGCAAAGCATGTGATCTGCATCCCCTGTTCAGATAGCGAGTGAGGCCATTTCACACATTATGCAACAACAAACCTGGATTAGCCACTTAAATCAACAGGGAACAGTAGCCAGTAAGGTTTCTCTGATGGATGCACCCTCATAGCATCGGGGTTTCCAAACGCCTAGATGAGTCGTAGTGAGAGATTTTCTATCCAGGTCTTTTCTTGACAGCATTTCCAGTTCAATATCCAACATAGTGGTGAGCCTGTCAGACAACACGGTGACAAATTGTGCACATAGTGATAAATGAAGAAGAGTTGTTTCCAAGAAACTGTCTAGATCTAAAACCATACATCCTACGTCCTCAATCTGGTACTGAAGTACTCATATCTTTGTAGTCAGTCGTGGGCAGAAGGTACACTGGAATCTACAGGTGATTTTGAAGAAGATTAGCAAGGATTTCTGACCCCCAATTGATCTGTCTGTGACTGATGGCTGGCTGCACCTTTCCATCTAAGTTAATAAACATGCACATTGGAGTATGTTCACAAAGGGCCAAACCGTACTTTATGTTATGTACTTTGTTAGCCACATAACGGTATCTTTGAAGTGCATGGGTTTTTTCAGCCGTTTTCGTGCCTGTGTTTGGATAGTTCCTGGAGGTCGTAGGTGCAGCTGCCTTGCATTTAAGAACCAGCTGTGTCTTTAAAGGCACAACGATGCACTACAGAAACATGGGGCTGCCACCCAAAATGGCTGTCCTGTGTTGAGCTTGCCCACGATCTCTTGAGTCCACCATTACCTCATCCAGATATCCTTGTGCCATGTGTTTTCTCCTCCCATGCCAGCAGATGCCGGTGATGGCAGTGTGGAGAAATACACTGACTGATGTCATAAGACTTGTTCTGGGTGCAGCAGATGTTCCAGAGGGCGAGGGAAGGACCGGGCATAAGGCCACCATTTTGCCAAGTGACTGGTGTTTCTTGCAGCATGTAGTTTCACCCTTGCTATGCCCTTGTCCATTGATTCAGTGAAGAATGCCTGTTTAGTGCATCTTTGGTATGTTGCATAAAGCATGCCACCTTTGACTTCTGTCGTGTTTGCAATTGCTACTGAAGTATTTTGATCACAAATGTGGTTGACTGTGTATGTGAAAAGCTGCTGTTTATCTGATGCTGCAAACATGTAATGTTGTTTTCTCTTAGGAAGCGTACACTGCTGCTAAATAATGTGTTTGCCATTGTGGCTGCCTTGCTGATGGCATTCTCTCAACTGGCAGGAGTCCTCGAAATGATTATTCTGGGCCGATTCATAATGGGCATTGATGCAGGTATGGTTTTGTATTTGTTGCATTTGCATGCCAAGTATATTCTGAGCAATCCCTGTTACCCCAGAGCCTGATATTTCAGTTGAACTTGCCGAGATCGAAGAAGGGTCAGAGACCCCAAATGCTTAAAAACAGAATGTATCTGCAAGAGCCAGGCTGTGGGATGTGTTTTCTTGGCAGAGGATATATCAATCACCAGAACATTGTAATCCTTCTCAAAACAGAGTAGGTTAGCTGATTTCTCTGCTTATCCCTTGCGTGGGAAAGGGGATTTCCTGATCTCAAGAAGTACCTCATAACATTATATCCAGGGCATTGCAATCTTTTTGTGAACATTCTGCAAAGACCTAAAGTGCTCTGACGAATGAGCACTTCCAGGAGAACTGAGAAAAAAGTGTTCTGCAAATTATGGCCTGGTTACAGCAGAGTATACAACAGAGTATGCAAAGGTGTGCCTCCATGACTAAATTTGAATAGTGGCTTCTTACACTTTCTAAAAATATCGGAAAGTTTTCTAATTTTGCTTATATAGTTCTTTAGGAACACATGGGTTACTTTGCAGGTAAATGCTTCTGCATATGAATAAAAAATAGTGGAAAAAATCATATTAAGTACTGCTAAAAATATATAACGTGCTTCATATCTTCCTACTTACCTATATGAAGATAGTAGCTTTAACAATGTTTGATAATATTTTAGATTTTAAACTTCTTTTACCGAAAAGCTGTCTTTTATCTCTTCCCCCTTTCACAGGTGTATCTCTGAGTGCCCTCCCTATGTATTTGAGTGAAATTTCACCCAAACAGATCCGTGGTTCGTTAGGACAAATTACAGCAATCCTCATCTGCGTCGGTGTCTTCAGTGGACAAGTTTTAGGACTACCTGAGATATTTGGAAAGGTCTGTAATATTCTGAATTGCACTTTTACTGTCATAATGAAGCTGAGTTAGAATCCTAGAATTGTACAGTTGGAAGCGCAGCTGGGAGTCATCTGGTCCCAACCCCTTTGCAATGCAGGAATCCCAGGGCACGCTCAGCTCAGGGGGGAGATACACCAGACAGCACTCAAGACAAAGTATTGTCCATGGCAACTGTCCTTAGCCACAGACAAATTTTCCCCCCAATAACCAGATTCTCCATAGCTCAGACAGACACATAGTTCCTCTTCCGATTTCCAAACTCCCACAAGGATAGAATTCTGCAGTACTAGGCAAACAGTAAATAAGAAAGCTGCAAAAGAGCTATCCCCATGCATGTGCTCATAAGTTCAATATTTACTGACTAGAGGAACACGAGGGCGCATAAGGGGTGTGACAGCGGCCACAGAACTTTTCTCAGTTTGGGTGCAACCTGCCATTAGCATGGAAAGGGAAACCCCAGTAACAGTGGCATGTGACTGAAGGTGCAGGTCATCAGCTGCAAATTCACCCTTAAAACCTTTGGAGCAAACAGCAACTATTCTGGCCAACTATAAATGATAAGTGTGCAAAGCAGTTGAAGTGCAACAAAGGTCTGAATCACGTTAGGAGTTGCCCTTCTGGAAGAGCCCACAGGTCTTGGATATAGCAAGCCTAACTTCAGACTGCAACGGATAACAGGTGTTATGACCACATGATGGCGATATTGCTCTGAGTAAATGCATCTGATACCTTGAGCGGTTTTTTATCTCAATATGTTATTCTTTATTCATTTATTCCAACATTGATCTTTAGTGTCCATATATAGCAGATGCATGGAATTGGAAAGGGTAAAAAGCGTGAGGCAGCTTGAGATTAAGTGGCGCCCTAGGCAGACATCTGAAACGGGATGTGAAGTTGAAAGGGATCAAAAACAATCTGTTAAATGCAGCTCCCTGCTTCAAGGCAAGACAGTCCCCCCAAAGAGGAGGCTTTTATCAGGGGCTTTGAGGTCCTCTCTGCAGCCACAGCATCCTTTTCGTGCTTCACTCAGATTCTTCATCTTCACAGCTAGCAAGCTATGCCCTTGAAGGACAAGGGGACTCTCCTGCAAACCTCTGCAGCTACTTCAACTCATTCCTTAGCCAGGCAAAAAGTGTAGAAGTTGCAGTTTGCAACCAAGGAGAATGTTTGGGCTGGTGTAATTTGTTGGCTGGGGGCAGCGGGGTAACTGTTTTGGAATGTGGGGAGATTTTGGAGGTCAACCACATTATGTATTGAACAGGATTTGTATACTGCTTAATTGTAAATAAAGCCTCTAAGCAGGTTAGCAAAAATTAGCAATGGGTGATATTCAATGCTAGTCCTACTAAGAGTCCTCATTGAGTTTAATAGATAGGAATAACACAAATGTGAGCAAGTCTATTCTCAATACAAACCCATATATTCTGGAAAGCTGTTTGTTCACTGTGTGTTTAAGAGGACCCCTCTTAAGATATCATAACCAAATTTTGCATTATGGTTCCAGAGATGGAAGGGCAGGTTTTTGTCTATGTTGGTATGCAGTTGGGTGCCATTTTCCGACTCTTTCAAAACTTCATTGATTTTAATTTCAAAACTGCACTGCTTTTTTGGTCAAGGGTAGAAATAAGTTTGTGTGTTTAAAAAATACAATTATGTATAAAATCAAAAGCTAACATATACATTATGAACTAAAATTAGAGATTAAAATACATGTCATCTTCACATGTCTAGGTAGGTTGCCTAAACAAAAAGGGGTTTAGCAGGTGCTGAGGCGAGTACAGCAAACATCTAAAGTCAATAGGCATGGAGTTGTAAAGGCTGTCGCACTAAAAGACTGTGGGTAACTCTTGACGTAATCTTAAGTGGAGCTCAGACCTGGTACGTGATGTAGGTGCTGTTGAACCGGTTGGAAACAGTGACTGTAGTGCTATCATAGTTGCATGAGAGTAGGCAATTGCCAAGAAAATTCCAAACAGTTTTTAGATACCAAATGTGAGGGGATTGAGAAGCAGAAAGTTGACAGGAGAAAGTCATGACTCATGAGGGTCTCCCAAATGCTTGAGAGTTGTTTAGAACCACAATATTACAAGCTCAGCTAGAATGTATACTGAATGTCATGGGCGGCTACTCAGCCCTGGGAAAGGTGTGAAACAACAACAACAACAACAGTTTATTATTTATATGCTGTCCATCTTAATGGGTTCCCCTGACTCCCCTGGGTGGCTTCCAACAAATTAAAACACAGTATGATTGGGGACAGCGTTAATGAAGGGAAACACACAGGCAAGTTGTAAAAAGACAGACTAGTAGAGATAAATGGTGAATAATATAGCATTGAGAGCTAACTGCTAGGGCTGGGTGAAACAGCAATATGTCATCCAATGCCAGTCTGAAGTCCATATCATGAAGCTGGTTTCCTAATTTTTGACCTGGCAATACATTGTGGATCATTATATGTGTGTGTGTGCTGTTCAAAAATCACGATGCAGGAAAACCTGTGAAGCCAGCCAGTGCCTCTATAGCTCCATCCTTATTTCAGACATCATGATATATCAGTATATCACAATGTTTAGCTGGTGATACTTCATGATGCTGAAAACCAGATATCACCCAGCCCTACAAACTCTTGCTCCTACTATTAGCTGCCTCTTCAATGGAAATTATAGGTTAGTCCTTCCTGCTCCCCCAGTCTACTGTGTGGCGACTTTGACCCTCTAGCCCATGGGTAGGCAAACTAAGGCCCAGGGGCTGTATCCAGCCCAATCGCCTTCTAAATCCAGTCCGTGGATGGTCAGCATGTTTTTACATGAGTAGAATGTGTCCTTTTATTTAAAATGCATCTCTGGATTATTTGTGGGGCATAGGAGTTTGTTCATATTTTCCTCCGAAATATAGTCTGCTCCCCCCCACAAGGTCTGAGGGACAGTGGACCGGCCCCCTGCTGAAAAGGTTTGCTGACCCCTGCTCTAGCCTGCCTGAATTTGACCCACAAGCAGAGAGCAGACATTTTTCATGATTATGCCAATAACTCAAGAAGGTCGTAGAACGAGGTGCAGAATCTCGGGGTTGGAGGAAAACTTGACTCACACATACCCAGTACAGAAATTGGTTAAGAAATAGGGCATCAGCAAAAGTCATTTGTAGCATAGTGCAGCGTAATGGAGCAGGAAGCCTATTAACACTTAAGGGCATGTTTGTAGAATTAAAGCTACATCTTGGAAGGAGGCGCAGGAGAAAACCTCCACGAAATGGCTTCAGTTTCTGATTTCAGAGCCTGGGTTAAGCGGGACTCCCTGGTTAGCCTTAACCAAAATGCCATTCAGTTGAGAGTGCTGGTGGGAGTTTGCACTCTGGAAGGGTGGGGTTAATTGCGGTTAAGTAATTGGCAACATTGCATCTCTACCAGACGCATAAGAATGAGGGTGCAAAAAGCAATTAACGAGCTAAATGGCTCCAGAAAATTAACCATGTTAGCCTGTTGCGTCAAGAAAACAATAACAGATAAGCCTGTGGAACCTTAAAAGACTTGTACTAAATGTATGAGGTGCCAAGAATCATTGGACTTTCTTTCTTTCTTTCTTTCTTTCTTTCTTTCTTTCTTTCTCCTTGCATTATATTGACAAGTGGTAATGAAAATTCCATGCAGGGTTCAGACCTGCCCTGGTAGTGATTGGCCACTGCCAATTTGGGTGGCTTTTAAACAGGACAAGTTTGTGAAAGATCTGTTGCTACTAGCCATTGTCAGAGGCGACATTCACTCGGAATCACAGTTGGGGAGAGTGTTGCTGGGGCGCAAAGGTCCTGCCCCCTGGCTTCCCCCTGGCTGGTCACTCTGGGAACAGGGTACAGGATTAAATGGGCCTCTGGCTTGACCTCGGAGCGCTTACGTTCTCATACAACAGGTCAAACGATCTTCTGTATTTGCCCAATTAATAAATATGATCAGAAAAATGAAAAGCTCAACAAATATTTCTCCCCTGCTCCCAATTTTCTAGTAATTTAGTGCCGTCCTAACTTGCTATCTTGATTTTCAGATATCAAAAGAAAACAATACATTTCCATCCCATTCTTCTTAGGTTTGCATAGGCTGTGGGAGCAACAAGGGAGACCCAATGCCACTGGCCCATCAGTGTAACCTGCAACATGGATCCTGAGCCTGAGTTGGCAGAGGGCTGACCCCCCAGTTGCTGCTAATCCATGCCTCAACATCAGCTTCTCTCCTCCCCACCCCCCACCCCCACATTGCACATAAGCAGGCAGCACGGAGGGAAATATCAGCAGTTTTTCACCGTTTCTAAGCCAGAGGGGGAAAGCTGTAGAGCAATGTTTACTGAAGGAAGGTCAGTGGACCTGAAAGAGAGCCTGAGATGACATGGCTGTGAAGAATGAGGAAAGAACGGCTCTTTTGACACGTAGCCAGTCAATTTAAGGAAAGGTCTGTACAGTATTTCTTTTAAAGGTTTTTTTAAAAATGTTGTGATACAGAGAGAGAGAGAGAGATGCAAAAGCTCGCAATGCTTTGTGAGAGATCATTATGTAAACGCCTTCATTTTGAAATAAGTCACTAAAATAAACATTTTGCGGGCTCTTGGAGGGCAACTGCTGGCAATGTGCATTCGCTTATTCCCACCTCCAAGTACAGTCATACCTCTTCTTGCGAATGCTTTATGTTGCGTTTTTTTCAGGTTTAAAATGTGGCAAACCCAGAAGTGTTTACTTCTGGGTTTCGCCGCATGGGCAGAAGCGTCTGTTCAGTTCACACATGCGCAGAAGTGCTCTATCACGCCTCGCACATGCACAGAAGCGCCGCTCCACTCTGGTTACGGACTTTTTGGGGTGCGAACGACACCCCAGAACGGATCATGTCTGCAACCAGAGGTACCACTGTATAAGTGAATAATAGTAAATTATTATTATTATTATTATTATTATTATTTTATTTTATACCCCACCCATCTGTTTCCCCAGCCACTCTGGGCGGCTCCCATTTAAGTGTTAAAACAATACAGCATTAAATACTAAAAACTTTCCTAAACAGGGCTGCCTTCAGATGTCTTTTAAAAATAAGATAGCTGCTTATTTCTTTGACACCTGATGGGAGGGTGTTCCACAGGGCGGGCACAACTACCGAGAAGGCCCTCTGCCTGGTTCCTTGTAACTTCACTTCTCGCAATGAGGGAACCGCCAGAAGGCCCTCGGCACTGGATCTCAGTGTCCATATAGGAGAAACTAAAGAGATTTAACCTGGAAACATCATGGAGATGGGGGAGAAAGCTGCTCCTTGTGGCCCCAGCCATTGTCTGTAGACCCACCTATTCATGTGGTCAGCCCACCCTCAGCCCTGTTTTTTATGTGTATTGTGCATGCATATGGCAGAATGGGGAGAACCAGCATATATATGGTCCGCACAGGTAGATTTCTTGTCCTGCATCAACCTTTCCAACCTGCTGTCCTCCACATTGTACCACAGCTGCTGTCAACATGGCCAACGGTCAGAGATGATGGGATTTGTGCCCTCTGAATGTTGTGGACTGCCAGGGTTGGGAAGGTTGTCATACGCTATATGTCTGTCATAGCAGACCTTGAACCTTGACCTTTCCTTTCCTTTCCTTTTAGTAGTGCATAACTGGGATACTATTAAGTATGAACTTTGGAGTCACAAATTTCAACACATGAGTTCAGGTTGATCAGTGTCATCTAAGTCTTACCAAGTTGGGTTTTTTTTAACATACACAATTTTGAATATTTTGCTAAGAAAATGAATAGTGGGTCTTGATTTCAAATGAGAAAGTTTTATTTTCTCATTTTATTTTATAAAATGAGACTATTTTATTTCAGACACTGGCAAATCATCGTTTTTAGTGTTTTACATTCAGCTGCCACTTTATGCCTTTGCAAAGGATGAAATTATGCTAATTGAATCGCATGAATTTGTCCCGATTGTTGAATCTGTCACACATGAGTAATACTGCTTAGATAAAGAAATAAAAGAATGCTGAAATTATAGCATATTCTAATTTGTGTCTCAGATGTATTAAACTGGTAGAAGTATTTGAGTATTTTTAAAAAGTGATATAGAATACCTGTCAGAAGGGGGGGAAACAAATAAAAGAATGGGAGAAGGACCGTTCCTCCTGCATTTTAATAGTAAGTAAAACTACTGCTACAAAATCAAAGTAAGCTATCCAAATAAGCTATAGAGTACTTTATTTATTAGGGTAATACTATCAAAATAACAGGATTTTTTTGTTTTCAAGAAAATAAAGCGGGATATCAAATCCAAACTCAAACTCAAACTCAAATAGGCCCTTGTGTACTTGATTAGAAAGAGAAGTCTGTATCATATTTTTAAAAATCATTGGGCTGAAAGAAAAAAAATGCATCTTCAATATGCAAACCAGCTGTGAATCAGGGGCGGAGCTTTATGCTCCGGCACCGGGGGCAGAGAGCAGGCGGGGGCGGGCTGGCGCATGTTCTGGGGGCAGGGTGCCCAGCGCGGGGGGGGCAGCTGCGATGGAGCCCCACCGGGATCGCACTGCCGGGGACAGGGTGCTCCCCCCACCCCCTCGTCCTCCCCCCACCCCCCTCGTCCTCCAACAGTGCTGTGAATTCACTCATTTATATGTAAGTTCTATTAACATTTATTGGACAGAGAAGTGTGGGCAATATACCAGTCCTTGAAGTCAGATACATGAATTTACTAACACGGTTACTAAAAGAGCATTGTGGCTGTTGATAGAGCAACCCTCTATCAATTTGCCTAATCTGTTTTAAAACCGTTTAGTTGCCTCTATCACCACATTGTGGCAGTTGACCCAGTAAGTTGTTTGAAGGTAATCTTTCCCTGAACCTTCCTTGCCACTAAGTTTGATTGGTTCTACTACTGTAAAAGTGGGAGAAAAAAGAATATCTCTCTGCTCCCCCTAGTCCACTCTTAATTTATAGAATTAATATCCGCTTTATTGCCCCACGCCCCATAAAGCAAATCCCAAACAATTTCCGCTTTCCTTCTGCTCCAGCCCTCGACTATGTTGGTGAGCTTTTTATATATTTTCTCCAACTCCTATCTTTTTCAAATGTGGGGATGTAAAATGCAATCTGAAAAGCCGCTGATAATCAGAGTGACCTGACAGTTGAAGCCCTGTTTGGGAGGTATCCAGATTGTTTGCAGATGCATGGACACAAAGTTCTGTTGGTTAGCGCTAATACACCAGCAGCAACCCTTCTTGGAGTTCAGCGATCCGGGTGCTTCCCCTGCATCAGCACAGCATCCCTAGAGTGGACATAAAAGGGGATGTCTGAACCAGCCAGTCGGAACTTCTTGTTTCTCCTAGGCTGGGACAGGCTTCCTCTGCATGTGACTAGAGGTGGACGTGACCTCACCTGCCCAGGTAACAAAAGAGCAGGACTGGTCAGCCATATCTCTCTTTCTCTCTGACCACATTCATCTAAGAAGCAACATCTGCTTAGCCTAAGATGCTCTCTTGGCTTGCAGAGAGGACAAAGGGGCTGTCTCCTTATGGGATATTACTTTTCTAACTTAAGTCTGCCTTCTGGAATCCAATTGTGAACAGAATGTGAGTGAGTAAACTCTTTCTATACTTTTATAGAAGACTGTGTTGTGTCTATCTTTTTATGAGGGACTAAATGGGGAATTACCAAAAGGAAAACTCATTTTAGAGGCTTTAGCGAGCCTGAGCAAATGCATCCGCTGTGCAAGTTTAAAAAGGGGAAATGTTACTCTACTAAATTGTGGAACTTGTTAACACAAGTTGGAAAGGATATAATCAAACAATATGTCCTCTCCTGCATCCCTGAACATTCCCACAGTTTTTAACTATGATTTTGTGTGATGTGTGATTTTGCTTGTGAGGTAGTGTATTGCGTGCGTGTGGCCCATTATTTCTTCTGGGGCCCTCCCCCCCCACCACCACCTGCAAGAGAGGAAACAGATTTGCACATGACACAAAATGCATGCAGCTCAAAGTTTTATGCAAATTTGTGTTCTCTTTCGAGAGAAGGGAGGAGGACCCAATCCACATCTGTGTCCTGGGCCCAGGAAATCCTTTTGACATTCTTGGTTCAGATATTGCAATGTACTCTCTGCGCAGCTGCCCTTGGAAAGTGTGTGGAAGCTGCAGTTGGGCAGGTATATAAATAGCCCTTCACGTAGGCTTTGTTCGCTAAGATAAACCTCCAGGCATTCAGACACAGAAGGTTATGTAAACGGAAAGGGTGCTGTGGCTATTGCTGTGTTGCAAAGCGTTAAAGCAGATGGGGCTGGGCTAGTAACATTAGCAAGGCTGGATCGGTGCAAAGTTCTAGTGCTCACCTCCAGCAAAGAGCGGCTCTCCCAATTTTATTCTTATCCATTTGCTTCCAGTCACAGTTCTAGGGGCTCCGTGACAGAGCATCAGCCTTGCATCCAAAAGTTTAATCCCTGGCATCTTCCGTACCGGAATGGGGGAGACCCCTGTCTGAAACCCCAGAGACCCTCTGCCAGTCAGCGTAGACCAGTGGTGTCCAAACTTTTTTCAAAGAGGGCCAGATTTGATGAAGTGAAGGGCCGTGGGGGCTGACCAAAGGGCCAACCTTTTTTTTAGGATTTAGGGTTAGAGTTGTTGAGGTTTTGGGGGGATTTTACCCCAGGAAATAAACTGCTACAGGGGCTGGATTAAACTGACCGGTGGGCCGGATTAGGCCCCCGAAACGGACTTTGGCCATGCCTGACGTAGACAGTATTGAGCAAAATGGATGCCATGGTCTGACTCGGTGTGAGGCAGTTTCCTCTGTGTGCAGGCTCTCCTATCTTGGGGAAAGTAGCCTTCCATGCCTGTACACTTTTAGGACCGGTGAATAGGGTTGCCACCCATCTCTAGAAAAACGTCCTTTCTTTTTTTTAAGAAAAGTGTCCCCTGTCCTGTTCAGACTTCAAAGTTTTTGCATGGGCGGAGGGAGGGTCACAGGAAGTTGCTGTGCACTGGCTTGCTATGGTGGAAGTTTTGCATGGGCAGGGGGGCAGCGGATGGGTCGGAGAGCGGGAAAGAGAGTTTTTGCATGGGCACACTGGAAGAAGTGGGTCAGAGACAGAGATGGCGAGGGTGCAGTCTGTCCTGGTCTGTCCATTCAGTGGAGAGTGGGGGTGGGATTTTTCTTACAGTTGTAAATCATAGTGCTTTTGTTGTTTTTATTCATTGAATAAACCCATGTAAACCCCGAGTAGCTTTGTAATGGATTGCTTTGAAGTCATACCTGCAGCGGGGAATGTGATTTTTAGCTCCCTGATTCCCCCCTCAACCTGTCCCATATTTTGCCTGACCAAAGGTGGCAACCCTACTGATGGCGTCACATCAGTGGTCGCATCCAGAGCAGCTGTTTTAGTTGTGGTGTCACTTCTTTGGAATTCCCTCTCAGAGAAAACACCACCAGAGCCTGGCCTTATAAATAAGTGCCTTGATACAAGATAGGCAGTTGGTCTCCGTGTGCTTCATTCTGACTGCCAGGGGCTTTCCAAGTCATCAAGCAGATATTCCTAGCCAAGGAGAAAAAGAGATGCAGGGATTGAATTTAGGAGCGCCTGCTGCTGGATTATGAATGTTCCCTATGTTTATGTTTATTTCTTCATTACATTTGTATCAATATTTTCTTCCAGCATTACCTTTACATTTTGTTTTGTGTTTGTTTCTTGCAGGAATCCATGTGGCCCTATTTATTTGGGATGATAATTGTCCCATCACTTATCCAAATGGCAGTCCTGCCTTTTCTTCCGGAAAGTCCTCGCTTTTTGCTGCTTGAAAGACACGACACAAAAGCAGCAGAAAAAGGTGCTGTGCTTTTGTTTTTCATCATTTGTCTGTTTGCCTCGAAAGACAGGAATTCCCCTGAAAGTGCAAATATCCTTTCGTTTTGCAGTCTACTTTCTTTAACTCCAAGAGTCCTACAAAAATTGCATAATATCAAAACATTCGAGGCAGTCGCAGTCTGCTTTTCCACCATTCAACTCTGTTTCATGCAAAGTATCTTCCTCCTACAACTAGGGTTTTCTTGGTGGTGGCCCCGCCATATGGAATGCCTTGCTATGTGTGGTATGCCAGGCCTCATCCCTAGGATGTTTTCAGGTGACCAGTTGACAGGACTGCTCAAAAAGGCCTTCTTCAACTTACTATTAGCTCTGCTGGTTTGGTTTAATTTTTATGATGGAGTTTAACTTGAGGATTGCTTTATGTTTTTTAATACTGTTTTCTATTGTGACATTGCAGGGATGCAGGTGGCACTGTGGGTTAAACCACAGAGCCTAGGACTTGCCGATCAGAAGGTCGGCAGTTCGAATCCCCGCCACAGAGTGAGCTCCTGTTGTTCAGTCCCAGCTCCTGCCAACCTAGCAGTTTGAAAGCACGTCAAAGTGCAAGTAGATAAATAGGTACCGCTCCGGCGGGAAGGTAAACGGCGTTTCCGTGCGCTGCTCTGGTTCGCCAGAAGTGGCTTAGTCCTGCTGGACACATGACCTGGAAGCTGCACGGCGGCTCCCTCGGCCAATAAAGCGAGAAGAGCGCCGCAACCCCAGAGTCGGTCACGACTGGACCTAATGATCAGGGGTCCCTTTACCTTTATCTTTACCTTTATTGTGACATTAGTACCTAAATAGGCAATGGCTATGCCTACAGGTTCGCATTCTCCAAATCTACAGAGTAATAATCCTAGCATGTATTTGTAGGTGTGTGTTGTTTTTTAACTTATTTGTATCCAGAAGCTGAATCAATACCATATTCAGTACTACATCTGTGTTCCCATGGACCTCAAGTGTACACAAAGTCTAGGAGATGAACCAAATTCATATGAAGTGCCTGGTATAATTTACATGGAGGCAGATCTATACAACCATTTTTTTAGCCAGAAAAAAAGGAAATGTTTGATGCAGATTAACTCTTTGATCCATTGTGTCTGCTTGGTCTGAACGCAACCACAATTTGCATTCTAAACAAACATATGACTTGTGGGTTTACAGCATTTCAGACCTTTCTTGGCAAATCTGATGTGTCGTATGAAGTAGAAGACGTGTTGGAAGAGAGTCGCGTGCAGAGAAACATGCAGATAGCATCTATCTTTCAGCTTTTGTGTGACAGCAGTAAGCGATGGCAGATCCTCACCGTAATTGTAACCATGGCCTGCTACCAACTCTGTGGTCTTAATGCTGTAAGTGAGATGACGGCAAATAATGTGTAAAAGATACATTTCTATGTTTTGCTCCAATGTTTCAAGATCTTTCTAGAATATTTCTAGAATGTTTTGGCGACGGCCTCAAATCTCTGAATGGAAGGGCATTTAGAAAGGCAAAAGGGTTTGTCCTATCATAGGATCACAGAATTGTAGAGTTGGAAGGGACCATCCAGTCCAACGCCTCTTTCAGACCAAAGCCCCCTTCCCCTGAAAGCTTGGGCTCAGCCTGGGAGGGCCTTTAATCCAGCACCATCATTCCCCTGCCAGCCCCCCCCCCCCAGTGGATCAGAGGGTAGAGCAAAACCGGTGATAAACACCATTTTGCATGTATTATTTTTGTTAGTGAAGCATTGCTACTTAGCACTGTTACCGAAAATAATCAGCGTTTTTATTGATACACAATGTTTAATTCAGCAAGTAGCACTGGGCAACTTTACACCTGTGGGCGTGATGGGAGTTTTACTCACTCCTTTTTCTCCTGCAGCTACCAATCCTCTGGATAATTCCTCTTATCCTTCTAGCAGATCTTTGAGGCTGCAGGGGGAGGGGTGGAAGGATAAGTCCCATTTGCCAAAGCAGATATCGTTGCACAAGTGCGATGCCACGTAGCCCCTTATCTTCATGCTATGAACTTTGAAGAAAGATGCAGCAACATAAGGCAAAATGTGATGCATCAATTCTTCAAAACACATTCCTAAGTTTCCTAGTATTGGGGGGATAGATCTCATAGTTACTGAACCAATGCCATTGTCTTCAGCTCAGTAATAATGTTTGTAGGTAAGTAGGGGTGTGTTTTGTTGTGTTGTGTTGGTATGTGACTGAGTGTGAGAGAGATGCATTAACTCATTTTTCCTGTTACAATATTTAATCTTTGTTCTTTTTCACTGGTTATGCCTTACTCCCTGACCCATTAAATTTCCTGAAGGGCAAATTCAAGTCCAAGTCAGATCACTAAGTTAACAACCTGATTTCAGTCTTATTCTGCCAGCAATTCCGGAATAGCTGTTGACTGGCCAGTCTCCCTCCTTTCAGCCACTGTGAGAACAGGATGCTGGAGCAGATGGTCTAATGGGCTGATCCAGGGGGTTCTTCTTATGTTCTTAGATGCAGTAGATGCCTTCTTTTCATCATAACTACCAAGCCAAGGCAGCCCCAATATATTGCATTTGCCCAGTCCATGTTGCTCAGATGAAATGGGATCATCATGCTTCACTTTGAAATGCATGGAAAACATTCTTTCACAGAGACTGACATCTGTGGAGGAAATCAAACACCCCAAATGAATTCTGTTGCTCTCTAAATAAGCTGCCTGGGATGATGGCATGACCACATCTCATTAATGGATAACTTGAAAATTACTCTGTGTCAGATGATGGGTGTAATATCTTTTTTAAAAGGAAAACCTTTTGCACCTTCCAAAGCAATTTGTAACGATTTTTTGCAGTATCTCTCTAAGAGTTAATTAGATGTTACTGAGAAATTCTTCGCTGTCTGCTGTGAATAAGATGAAAATCGCACTTCATCATACCTTCAATAAACCTACAAAAGACATCCCACAAAAAGTATAGCTTTCTACTAACTGCAGGATTTCAGTACTAATGACAGGCTTGTTCTGTTCCTTGTTGTGGATACTTTACTGAGAAAAGATATGGAATTATCTTGTCATCTATTCGGTTTACAGCTCTTCTTATAATTATACTTACAAGAAATAGAAAAGTGCCATGTGCCGTGAAATAACCAAGGCAGGGTTTTCCCCCCCAGTCCTGCACTTGCAGTACTGGAAATAGAATGGGAACATCTGGGATTATGGCAAGATTTCTTCTTGGAGAAGGGGGGGGGAATCTAGAAATGAAGTGGTATTGATTCCCTCTAAGAGTTACTCAGGTTTAAAGACTCAGTAGAACTGGTGCGTTTCATGTGGGGTTCTGCACTCTTGAAAAAGCTGTGAGGGAGCATCCCTGTGAGGGTGGAGAGTTGCAAAAAGAACTGAACATAAATGGTTGGGTAACTGGGAGAGGTTAGTTTTTTGAAAATTTGTGGGCTAGGTTGGAAGAGGGTGATAAATCATAGGGTTAGGGTTAGGGAGGAGCTTTGAGAGTGTTAAGAGCACAAACAATAACACTTTCCTGTTGTTTGCATATATCTTTTTCCAGATTTAGCCATCTGCTTATTTCCTGAGCTCCCAACTAGGGTAAACTGAAAAATAATATATCAGCATACTATTTCTTCTTCTTTAAATTTACAGTCAAGGGACTTTCCAGACGATCACTTTAGAGAGCAAATGTTGCTGCTCCTACATTGTGTGAAATTCAGATTTCTTTCCTCAGAAAAGCACTTTTCTTTTTTGTGGGGTGGAAGGCTGCCATAATGTTTTCCATTGTTGCAATGGTATACCCTGCTCATTGTATTTATATAACACCACAATGTTCAACAAAATCTCGACATATTATAATCAGTCGCATGTTTCTAATTTGGTTTATTAAAGTGCTCCAGCACAATTGGAGCATAGGGTTGTGCTGTTAACGTCCGGTTGGATGTCACTGGGCAAGATGCTCAACACAGTAATTTGCATCCTTTGGCCAGTCCATCATTACTGAGGCATTATATGTATGTAGTCTTACATTTTAATTAGATTCTAAAAACCGTTTTGAAATCAAATAACTGAAAAAAATGGTTTCTTGTTACAGATTTGGTTCTACACAAATGAGATTTTCAAGGGAGCTGGACTGAGTTCAGAAATAATCCCATATGTTACTTTAAGCACAGGAGGGATTGAGATTTTGGCTGCCATTTTCTCCGTAAGTACTGTGTCTTCTGCGCCCTGTAGAATCCTTTTAGCTCCCTCCTCTTTCAATTTGATGTGACATTTTCAGGTAAAAAGCAGACAGAAGGGCTATGTTTTATAAACTTTATTCAACTTTACTCAATATTTTAAGAGATTGGGATGCAGGAAATTTCAAGTCTGCAGTCATTATGAGTTCTCAATAAATTAGATTAATCTAGTTTATTGCTGTATTAGTTTTTCATTTATTTAAATAGCACCATTAATGTGTGTCTCTCATAGAATCACAAAACTGCAGAGTTGGAATGAGTCCTGCAGTCATCTCATCAGTACTGTGAACCTTACTATCTAAAATCCAGTACAGGGAAGAAGAGTAGGGGGGTGGTAAACAGTGAATAAATATGTTATAGTTTGAATTGCAAGTTTAGTTCTTGGTCTTTGCACTGAGTTCTTTTCCTTGGTATTGAATTTAGGCCAATGTTTATTTTAGCCTATGTTACCACAAAAGGAGAAAGAGGGGGGAAGGGGGGGAGGAGAGAGAGAGAGAGACATTGTTTTCTGTGGTACAAAAGGCCTCATGTTAGAAAATGACCACGACCATTGAGAACTAGTTACTTTTAAAATGTGGGGGCCATATACAGTTGAAAGGATGCACAGTCCAGACCCATTTACTTATTTTAAAAGCATATGAATAACTTTCCCGCACTGAAATCAGTGACATTCACAGTTCCAATCCTGAAAATGGTGGGACTTGCTTGTAAGAAAGCCTGCCTAAGACTATGCTACGCGAGTGATGGAATTTGGTTGGATCATGTCATATATTTAAAAGTGTACATTTACTGGAACAAATTTATACTTTATACAAAAGAAAACTGTAGGCATTTGAAAACGTTTGTAGGCCTGAATTGAAATGTTTTGTAATGTAAACATAAGGAACTAATTTACCAATAATAAGGTGAAAAATTATAATTTGACAAAGGGTAAATAAGCGATTATAGAAATGCAAAGAATATAGAAAGGTATGTGGAAGTCAGAAGGAAGGGAGGGAAGGAGTACTCTTGCAGAGTAATATATTAAGTCATAGAATTATGTAACAAAATGTGAATATGATTTAAGTGGAAAACTCAATAAAAATATTTTTAAAAATAAAAATAAAAGTGTACATGTAATTTACAAATATGTCACAATCAAAATTGCCACACAGCTGGCTTTCTTCCTGAGGATGAAAGATGTTGTGGGGACTTCTTTGCTTACCTTGGGTGCTTTTAATTCATTCATTTTAGCGGGGGGGGGGGGAATTATGCAACTACAATAAATGAAATGTGAGCCTCATTCACCTGTCGGGGTGCATAGGATTGCAGCCTCCAAGGGGGGGGAGATCCAAGAACGACATATTCTCTGTTTGTATATCAACTTGATGAATTTATTCAAATGGGCTGCTCAGTGATTACCCAAGTCCTAAGCATGCTTGCTTTTGCACTTCATTTGACTAGACCAGCCTTGATAAATATAATTCATATTCATTGCTGTCAATAAATTGTAAGATCAGTGCAGCTGAGCAAAGCTAGGCAAAGCAAACACTGAAGTCGATGCCATTGATTGTGTTGACATTTTTTAGTCCTTTCCATGCAGAAAATTCTGCTGCTTTGTTGTCTTTGATATTATATACAGTTCCGACAGAAGGCAAGTTCCCATAGCAGCAAAGCTAAAAATGGAATGTGAGGTCATGAGCATCGGAGCAAGAAGGAAGGAAAAAGCTGCACAGTTTAATTCAACTTTTAATTAATTAATGCTTGAACACATGCTTAATAAGAGGGGTGTGCTGCAGGGGCCACTAAAAGTGGAGTTGCAACCAACTTACCATGGAGCCAAAAATGTAATGTGGTTTTCTGTGTATGTGATGTGCAGGCATGTGTGAATTGACCCCCTGGCAGAGGCTCCGATGCCCGTAATTGCTGACACTCTCCCTAATACTCTCTTATGCTTCCATGACACTTCTCTAAATGCATGGTTAAATTAAATATTTCTAATATAAAACATGCAGAATTTTTGAAATAGTTTATGCACAGATAAAACAAAAACACTGTGTGCCTAATGGCCAAAGTAATACAAAGTGGGTCCTCATTGCTCCATGTGTGTAGAGCCTCTGAAAATTCACTCTGACAAACAGTGGTGAGCACCATTTAGAATATTAATACTGTTGTTAGTGTGACTTAATGGTATATTAATTTGGTTGTAAATGGTGGGCAGAAACCATTATTCCACTTCAGTGCAGCTTATGCAGCAGACCAGGTCTAATCGTGTGTTTTACATATAGACAGTTAAAACACTTGGAATATGAAAAAAAGTTATCTATGTTCCAGTTTGGAGAGTTTTTGTTTGTGTTGTAAAAAGTATAGCGTTGTGATCCAGGTGACTAATCCTAGCGTCTTTAGGATTCCCTGAGAGACATGGATCCCCATTGCCCTTAGATTGATCCATGAGGAGTTATAAGAGTTGACCACATAAATCCAGGATGCCTCTGGTTTTGTTAGACAATAAGACACTGTTTCTTTTTCTTCCTCAGGGCCTAGTGATAGAACGACTCGGACGCAGACCTCTTCTGATTGGGGGGTTTGGCTTGATGGTCCTCTTCTTTGTAGTACTCACTGTGTGTATGACTTTACAGGTATGTAAACCTGCCCTACTCAGCTTAAATATCGGGCCATTCTCATTGATCTTTCTTGTACACAGTGTGTGATCTTTAATGTGCAACTTTGACATTGAAGTCATGTGTGGGTTAACTGTGAATCTATTACACTGTCAGTTATTTTTGTCCTTTTAAAATTATGTTTAGCCAAGAGAAAACCAAAAGCTTCACAACTGAAATTGTTCTTGCAGGTTTCAAGATGAGACAGTTTAGGGATTAAGTGATTTAACAATAAAGTATTTCATTCACTACCTATTTGTGTAAGAGAAAAACGAGGGGCTATAACCTTTTCCCTCTTAATCCTTAATCCTTTGTATAAAAGGAAACTAGAGTTATATAATACTATTTTAAACTAACCTTGGTTCTCCAAACTCTGGTTTGTTTGAACTAGGATTAGTAAAAACTATCTGAGATCAAACGTATTCTCCCTATCCTCCTTTATTCTGGCTTGCATTATGTGTGAGCATTGCTGCTAACCCGATTGAAGAGATTGCAGAACTCCAATTCACTTTGAATTGTGAGGTTAATGTTGGTAATGCATGATTCCCAACACAACCATGGTCCCTAAACCATGGTTCAGCATTCATTCTTCAGCAGCCCTAATTCTGTGTTTTAAATATGTGTATCTGAAACATTATATCACTCCTAGATATCCTGTTGCTTTTTGGCAATTTCATTTTAAATATTTTGATTCAAAAATGTGAAGATGTGTTATTTGCTGTAAATGTCAGGAGCCTGACATTATTAACATTTACTTTCCAAGTGGCTATTTTTTAAATGGTCAAAAGAAGGTTCTGAAGGAGGTCACAGAACTAAGTAGAAGTCATTTTAATCCCTGATTTGTTTCTCTCCTGTTGCATCGATTATTGTACAGCTTCTTTTGCTCCAGAGGGCATCTCTCAAACTGATGAAAGCTATAATTCTGACAGGTTAAAACAGCAGGCTTTGGGTGAACTTTCAGTACATTGTATTTCTCCAGGCAAAGTCATGATCTCCATTCCTCACACAAAGGTTAACACATATCTCCCAGGAAAGAGTTGCTTCAAGTAGTGTGCAAACATGAACATATCTACATTTTCAGCCAGAGCATGGATGTAGTAAGTTGCCTTGTACCGAGTCCACCCAGATAAGCCTCCCAGAGTGGCCACTTTCAGGCCACCCTTTTGAGGTAAAGATGCTGAGGATTTAAGATGGGATCTTGTAAATGCACATTATGTGTTTTATGACTGAGTTACAGCTCTTCCCCACGTGTGGCTTAACACCTTTGTCATCAGACTCACTATTCAGTACAGATCAGCTGCCATTCTGTTTCATTTAGATACAGATATATTAAAAATAGAAGCAGATAGGCCAAGCTGAAATGTCTTTCTTGGACAGGGTTGTATTTCAGCACAGACAGAAGATTAAGGGGGTCAGAGGCAGAAGACAGGGTGAATGGCAGACCTGGGGTCATATATCAAATTAGGCAGGTGCCACAGGCAAAAACTATAGTCAAAGACAGGCTGGCAATCAGCACTAGATTGGGGAGGGAGGTGAGGCGAGGTCATCCATATGGTTCTCAGTCCATTGAGTTGCTGAAGAACCCAACCTGGAGTTAGACCCAAGCAGACTGCTCTTGGTTCCTCAGGTCATGGCTGGACTGAAGAGCCATACTTCCACCAGTTATGGCCACTGTATGGACGGTGCTGCAGCACAGCAGAGATTGGGGGACTCATTTCCACCACTTGAGATGCCAGAATCTCTACTTTGAGACTTACAATGATCCATACAGTATTTCCATTTTTCCTGCTTTTTTGTTACTGAAGTAAGCGGTCAAGTGGAAAGAGTTCTTGAACCCAATGATATATACTGGGTTTATTTGCATGCCTTTCTGACATGATAGGAACGTATTAGTTTGTGAATGCCGTTTTGAGTAGTTATTCACTGGCACAGAAACAATAAACCTCCTATCACCACACTTTGGGGTCTGCATTACATTGCAAACCAAGGAGTTCATCTTTTTATTATTATATATTATAAATATTATATATTTATATATACTCCATCTTTCCCCCCCCCCCCCCCGAACAGGAATCAAATACAAACATAGAGAAATCGATAATAAAAATACCAATGAATACAAGACACATATATAAAATCTGTTTAAAACATACCAGTATATTATTACTATATGTTTAGTAATCTTTTTCTATAGATCTTTCATTTCTGTGTGCATGACTACAGAATCCAAGAGTACAGAAAACCTATATGATTGTTTGCACTTACTATAATCAGTACTTCGCACATTAGTAATACCTCTCCAATGTATTTTTTCAGGATCAAGCAGTCTGGCTTCGATACCTCAGTATAGTCTGCATTCTTGCAATAATTGCATCATTTTGTATTGGACCAGGTAACATTTTTTTTTCAAATGCATTTAAGTGAACTATCAGCCACTCATGGTGAAGTCTGTTGTATTAGGGGCAGTATATTTCCTGTTTTAGCCTGTGAATGTCCATCAGGGTGGGAGTGGTGAAACAGATGAGAATTCAGTGTTTATAATGACAATATGAAGTATGGTGTATTGTAGATACGTTCATCTACCTAGGTTAGCACTGGAAGGCACCATTGATCTAACTCTGTGGGTTCTTCCCTCTCTTAGCTGTAAGCTTACAATGGGTTGTATCCAATTCCTCTTCTCTACAGCCCACTGCATACCATCAAAATGTGCTCCGTAGGGATGGGAGACCTTCTGGAACAGATTTTGGGGCAGGAGGGGAGAGGAGAGGAAGACGAAATCCTGTTGCATGAGCGGAACTCTGCTCACAGAGTGTTAGATAAAATCTAATGTTCCTAAACCCAACGTTCTACTTATAGACAAACTTGAGTACCCTCCTGTAATTTACATGTACTTCATGGAATAATCCACAAGACATCAGTGATGAATTTTAATCTGATATAAATTGGGGCTGGACAGAAAGAAGGTAGATCTACTGGTGGATCGCTAGATGAATTGCCCCAGATTGACAAAGGTTTTGGACTCCCAGTTTAGCAATGGAAATTTCATTTAGCAATCAACAACATGCTTGTTTAGGTGGATTCGTACTCCACCATTTCAGCCTAAGCGCAATGCTTTAGGGAACTTACCACATGTTAAAAGCAACTAAATGGCTATATATAGTTTCTAAATTAGGATGTTAGAGAGTCTTTGACCTCAGGTGTAGATCTGTATCTATAAGTTCCTCATGGGGGGGCAGTATGGCTCTTCCCCCCAAACCACCAATTTGCATCTAGCTTCACCCCCAAATACCGCCCTGCCTGAAACTCTGGGGAACCACTGCCAGTCATTGTAGAGATTACCAAGCCTGATGAACCAATGATCTGACTTGGTATAAGGCAACTTCATATCTTCCAAGTGATTATTTTGCACCCAGCTCTGGTTGTAGTTCTGGTAAAAGCAGCAATGCCTGGAGTCTGTCTGGGTTTGGTGTAAAATGGTCCCTTGAGGTGGTTATGTTTTAATGCATTTAGGTAGTTGAAGTTTATATGGGGTAGGAACTGGACCGTTAACAACCTTAGGCCTGAGGTGCAAAAAGTATGCATGTTAATGTTAGCTTACACTTTTCTAATAGAACCTGCAGAAATACATTTGACACTGCAGTTTAATCCCTTACTGAAAGTTATTTTATCATTTAATGCCAGCTACAGTTTAGAACTTTCATAGTTTTAAAAAGCAAATACACAGTTTTCTCTCTTTTGTTCCAAATGGTAGTCTATTTTGGTGCACAGCTTTTCTCCCATTACGACTCTGTCAGTCATAACTTCCTAATGTGTTTTGCACTCACATTGAAGCAATCTGAGCAGAAATACATCAGAGTGAAAACTTTGCTATTTTTCCTGCTTGACTAGCTATCGCTAAGTAAAATACATAGTTATATGGCTTTAAAAGTGATTTAGACAGCAATAAGGCTATCAAGCACTGATAATCATGGGGGCAATGTTCTACTTCTACAGTTAAAGACAATATTTATTTATTTATTTATTTATTTATTTATTTACGTACGTACGTATGTACTTATTTACATGCCACTTAATTACTGGAAATTATAAATGGGGAGAGGGCTGTTGCACTCGGGTCTTGCTTCCTATAGGGCAGGGGTGGAGGGCCAGATTTGATGAAGTGAACATGCGTGAGGGCCGATCCAAGTTGTTTTTTTTACAATTTTTTCCCAAAGTTTTTGAGCTTTTTTTAGGATTTTGCCCCAGGACATATACTTCCACCAGATTAAATCGACCAGCGGGATTGGGCCCCCGAAATGGACTTTGGACATGCCTGCTGTAGGGGCATCTGGTTGGCTAATCTGGGAACAAGAATATGGAGAACATGGGCTTTTGGCCTGACACGGGTGGCGCTGTGGGTTAAACCACTGAGCCTCTTGGGATTGCTGATCAGAAGGTTGGCGGTTCAAATCCCCGCGACGGGGTGAGCTCCCGTTGCTCGGTCCCAGCTCCTGCCAACCTAGCAGTTCGGAAGCACGTCAAAGTGCAAGTAGATAAATAGGCACCGCTCTGGCGGGAAGGTAAACCGCGTTTCCATGCGCTGCTCTGGTTCGCCAGAAGCGGCTTAGTCATGCTGGCCACATGACCTGGAAGCTGTACACCGGCTCCCTCGGCCAATAAAGCGAGATGAGCGCCGCAACCCCAAACTCGGCCACAACTGGACCTAATGGTCAGGGGTCCCTTTACCTGGCAGGCGTCTTGTGCAGTTATTAGGAAGCAGTTCATAACATCTATTATATATGAGACAAGCTGCTCTTTTCTTTTTTGATACATCAATAATGGTGGTTGTTTTCACTCTCACCTGTGAGCTTACTATTATGCAGATCAATAATTATTATCATCTATTATTATCATTTAGTGATTATTATTATTATTTATTTTGTATAGCTTCCTTCATCTGAAGATCTCAGGGCAGTTCACAGCATAAAAATACAAAATAAAAACACAAAATGCATAATAAAAACAAGAACAGAAAATGAACCCATAATTCCCCCCTCCCACAAACACATTTGAAAGGACATAGAATGTTAATCAGCGACAGGCCTGGTTGAAGAGGAATGTTTTCTTCTTGCCTAAAGATATGGTATGTAATGAAGGCACCAGGCAAGCCTCTCTGGGGAGAGCATTCCACAAACAGGGAGCCACCACAGAAAAGGCAGGTTCTCTTGTTGCCTCTCATGGAGGAGGCGCAGAAAGAAGGGCCTCAGATGATGTATGAACCAATCTTTGACTATATGAATGTGCAGATTTCAGATATTGATATTTATAAATCTGTTGCAGTGATGTGGTTTGCATGACATGCTAACCAAACTTTGGCTTAGCAAGACCACATGAACCTGGGAGCTCCCCAAAAGGAACTTGTAGCTGTTTTGCTGCTTCCTGATGTTTTACTCATAGTGTGAAGTCCAACTGAGGCTTGCAGTGAAGCTGTCTCCTCTCTAACCACGAGCCACGGTGTGTTGTGCAAACCAGCTCAGTGACTAAATATACAACTTCATGTTATCTTAAAATAAATGTACCCAGCAGCTAACAGCAAATGAAATGGTGCACATTTTATCTTCTGTGTGCATTTGTCTTTTTAATGCTTTGAATTTTAGGCTTAAAATTAAAATCAGATATTTTTATGACAGCTGCAGCCTAATTGACGTGATTGTCTTTCCTTGAAGCCTCGGTTTGTGTTCCTCTTTCCATTGTGCTCAACTTTATACTGAAAAAGACAATGTGATTGAAGTGAATCACTCTGATAATTATGTTTGCTGCATTAACTTTGTGAACTCATCTTGAAGCCATCTTGCTATAAGACTCCTACAAGAGAGCTTTCCACTGTACTTTCCAACGATTGGAACAAAATTAAAGAAAGAAAGAAGTGTTTTAGCTTTTAAAAATGTGTCTGCACAAACCTCTTGATCTAATGATCATATGTGGCTCATTTTGAGTGGGAGACCGCATAATTTAGAAGAATGGTGAATCAGTATCACCCACCCTAATAATCGACACTGTGGAGACTGCAGTTATTGCAGTTGGAACTTATAGTATGTAATCATTGAAAAGTGTGTGTGTGTGTGTGTGTGTGTCCGTGTTTCAAGCTAGTAGGTGGTAGGAATGAAACAAAGGAAGAGAAAACCTAATGAAGGTCACCGATACACATGTGAGAAGGAAGCTCAGCCTTTGGTTAGATAGGGGGGAAAGCATTTTGACATATTCCTGTATATGATGTATAGTAAGATTCTCCCTTTACCTTGGCAAGATGGCACTAAGTGAAGCTGAACCGAAAGCTCCCCAAGCAGAACTTTCAGGGTTGAAATGTTTCATTGCATTCCTTACGATTCCTTACTTTTGCACCTGGCAGCAGCAACAGTTCCTCTTTTTAAACTTACTTTAGCTACTGGTTGTAGGGGCAGCAGCTGAATGCTCCTGAAATCAGTGGCCAGCTGAATGCTCCTGAAATCAGAGAACTACATCATGAAATAGCATCGTTCTGTGAAGCATTCAGGGGTAGGAGCCCCCCCCATTGCAGTCTCCATTTTCCCTGTAGAAGCCTCCTCCGAATGACCCCCTGACAAGCAGCTGCTGCAAACAGCAGCAACAAATTGTTAAGGGAGTAGGGAGAGAATGAGAGATGGAACCACTGCTGCTGTAGCCTGTGAAGGCAGTGAAAGGGCTCCAAGACTTTCCCTGCTATCCTCCAAAAAAATGGATAAATGAGGTGGCAAATTCAGGGAAGACAGCCCTCAGCCCTGATGCAGTTAGCCCATTCAGAAGGCACTTTCATCATGCTCAGCTACGCATTGTTTTGCAAATTTTACCCTATTTTGACAGTTGATGTGTGATATTTCAACGTAAAAGGGAAGCTTTGTTGACTGAATGCTGCAATCCTAAACATATTTTCCCCAAATTTACATTACGTACTGTGGAATCAAAGTTTTAATGTTCTCAGCTGGTTCTAGAAAAGCAGGGCCTCAGCAGGGCTAGAGGGGCCTAATATGAAAAGGATCTCAGTTTTCCTTACATGTCATGTCATTTTAAAACTACACTACTGCTTTAGATTTTTAGCTAGTATTTTTAGCCCCCAATGCAACAGTCTTAATATGATTTAAGGTGTTTTGTTAGCCATTCTGATGGCCCTTTGTTCAGACCAGACATGTGGGATATAAATGATGTTTCTGCACCAACGCCAAGTCTATTACTAATGTATTTTAGTGAAAAGAAGTCAGAGATGGTGAGCTGAATCATGAAAATTTGTGCGGGTTTTTACAGATTAGAGGCATGTTTACTGATCATCGTACCCTTGTCTTTTTTGTTGCAGGTGGGATCCCATTTGTCCTTACGGGAGAGTTCTTCGCTCAGTCTCAAAGGCCCGCTGCATTCATGATTGCGGGAATAATAAATTGGCTCTGTAACTTTGCTGTTGGACTTCTTTTCCCTTACATTCAGGTATGAGCAGTCTTAACATTAACTCAGCTGTTTGGACTGTTGCCAGAAATGGAAAGTGCCTTAATTCTCACCATAAACCCAAAGACTTTTGGATAATGAATGAAACCAAATCCAAACCCATACAAGCTAGCACTGGCTTTCTTTTGTCTGGTTGTTTGTAGCTCCAGCCCTGCGGCTTTTAAAGGCAGCAGGTCTAAAAAGTCTAAAGGAAAGTGAAGATGCCCTGAACAGAATGGCTACTCAGATTCACCGCTGATTCAGCTCAGCCTCCACAAGGGAGGATGATTTAAATTTACCACATTTGTAGCTTCTGTATGTTGCCAAGTAGAGTAAAGGAGGTGGCCAGCCTTTTTCATTCCTCTCCCAAATACTGGACACTGTTGTTCAAGTGTTAGTGCTGTTTTTAAAGTGTCTAGTCCTTATGGCTGCACAGAATACTCGGATGTGTGTGACAAAGGACTGGATCCAAATTTAGGTTTAATTGAAATCAATAAGGCAAATTAGACAAAATATAAGACCTGCTGGTTTCAGTGAGGAAAAAGTACAATTAACTCATTGAGTTAATGCCCTTAAGGACGTCTTATGGATTACTTCAAATCTGTTCTACTGTTGGACAATACTGTTAAATATACTTCAAATCAGCTCCTTGAGCTCCACAGCTCCATGCATGGCTGCTTCTTGGGATGGATGAAGGTGGATTGTGATCACCCCACAGAAGGAACACATGTCAGCATCAGATAAGCAGGGCCAACAACAACAACAACAATTTATTATTTATACCCCGCCCATCTGGCTGTGTTTTCCCAGCCACTCTGGGCGGCTTCCAACAGAATATTAAAATACAATAGTCTATTAAATATTAAAAGCTTCCCTAAACAGGGCAAGGGGAGACGACTGCCTCAGGTGGCAGGATCCATGGGGGCAGCTGATCTGGCTTCCAAAGATTGCATCACCGGCGTTGGAGGCTGGATCAGCCTCCTTCCCGATGCTGTCTCTACAGTGGCCTGTCAGGAAATAGGAGGTGCTACTGGTCTCTTTCCACCCCTAGGGAGGAAATGTTGGGGGCTGACCTCCAGGGTCTCCTGGGCCCTTTTCCCTACTGCAACAACCTTTGATTCCCACTTCAACCATCACATAAGGTTGATTTTATTCCCCTGCCCTCCGTTCCTGATATAGAACTTCGCTCACCGCTTCTTTCCTGGTGGGGGACTCCTTTTGTGGTTTTTCTCCGGCGCCAAAATGTCTTGGGCCGGTCCTGCGCATCAGATACACATTGTCATCCCTATCAGATAAGGAGGGCATAAACCCAAGTAGCATATCTTAAATTTGCTGAGATTAAACCCAGTTATTAAGAGCAGAGTTTTGACACAAGACAGAAGAAGCACCCATCCCCGGGTCCTGTTTTTCAAAAGTAAAACAATTAAATATTTTTATACCTACATGCAATTAGGATTCATTTTGGCGTGTTGACCCAGCTCTTATTCAGAAGAGAGAGGAATTGTAATAAGTCAGTTTTCCAGATCTTCTTGGATCCATTAACAGTGGAGCTTCTTGCTAACAATACATAGGCTCAGCTAGTGATGAGATCGAAACTGATGTGATGAATCCTGACAGTACATTCCAGGGACTCTCAGGTCTCATGAACTAGTGAATATTTACATTTCTTTGGTATCCTGCTTAAAGGTGTATCTGCCCAAGGCATAAAGGCTCCTTTGATCCTGATGCATGTGGGCAGTGAAGAGATGGGCTGAGCATCTATGAAAATCAAAGGATCAGAGTTTAGCATGAGCTCATAGTCACAAATGTATTTCAGTCTCTTTCTGAAAATGTGTCAACATGGTGAGTTTCAGCCCCTCAAACTGGTTACCTGCCAAAACACAGTGTTAATGGTCAGATAAATAAAGGGGCAGTTCACATCATTATGTTCCTGATGTGATTGTTGTTTTTTTAAGTCTCCATATGCCAACCAGGAGTTAAATAGGCTCAGTCTCTCATCATTAGATGGCAGCAGGAACCCTGGTTTGTGAGGGCACCTGTTCTATGGCATCTGGGTATCTCTTGGTTATTGCCTTCCTTCACAAGCGAGTCTTTGAAACTGCATAGTTTGGTCAGAAGGTGAAGTAAGAGCAAGTGCAATAATAAATAATAATAATAATAAATTTTATTTATATCCTGCCCTCCCCAGCCGAAGCCGGGCTCAGGGCGGCTAACAACAATCAAATAATCCAACATTCTAAAAACATTTCATTATAAAAATTAATTAAAATCAAATTGATGGCAACTGTTAAGCAAGATTCTGTGCAGATTGCCAGAGGAGGGAGTCAGGCTGCGCCCTGACCAAAGGCCTGGTGGAACAGCTCTGTCCTGCAGGCCCTGCGGAAAGATGTCAGGTCCCGCAGGGCCCTAGTCTCTTGTGACAGAGCGTTCCACCAGGTTGGAGCAGCAGCCGAGAAAGCCCTGGCTCTAGTTGAGGCCAGCCTACCCTCTCTGTGGCCTGGGACCTTCAGGATGTTTTTATTTGCAGACCATAGGTTCCTCTGTGGGACATACCAGGAGAGGCGGTCCCGTAGGTACGGGGGTCCTAAGCCGTATAGGGCTTTAAAGCAATGCAAAAATATACAGTCCATTAAATAGACACATTAACATTTCTGCTTATTCTTTTTGTATAAGCTGCAGAAGCGCAGGATATACATGCTAAATAACAAATAGCGTGGTTTTTGCATTGTTTTTATAATTCAGCATTATTATTGATCTGTCTCCAAGCACTAACAGCTTGCTTCACACCTCATTTTCTGCACACGTTTTCTTCTCTTGTCTACCGCAGGATTTCTTTATTGAGATCTTTTATTTCCCTGAAAGTGAAGCAGTGCATTTGAATGTGTTTCTCTTCCCCTTTTTGCCATGTAGACAGTGCTGGATTGCCCAGTAACAGCACATGCTTAGGGCGCCAGCAAAGCAGCGGCACCAAAAAATTGAGGAGATTGTTTTTGACATAATTTTATTTTTCATTTTCAAAAAATGCATCAAACTAATCCTCATGGGCAAAAAACAGAACTTAGACTTTCTTACACTCTGCTACGTAATTTTATTTTCTGGTTTAGTATTGTTTTATGTTTAATTTTATATGGGGACACCATCATATTTTCAGCACTTAGGGTCTCTAAAGGTCTGGCCCTGCAAATTATAGTCCATAGCAAATGGAACACCATCCAGGCATGAGTAATAAGGCGCCTTTTGCACCAGATGCTCACTGCTGAAATCTGCTATTTTAAAAAGTGGATGAATTTTGTTTTAAAGATTACTTTCATTTTGCAAAAAGGAAGTAGATTATCCACTCCCCCCCTGTGAATTATGAAAAGAATGCAAGGAGCCTCCAAGGATCTTTGCTACATTTGGTCAGTGTCCTAAAAGTTTGTAATTCCATAAACTTGCGAAAGTAGCACTGCCAGTGTGATTGTATTTTGCCGCGAAGTCTTATGCTTCAGAAGCAAGTCCTACTCTTTTCAAGGGATTGCTGCCTTAATTAATGTAGTTCCTTGCTCGTTGCTGTATTTCAGCATGAGTAGAACATTCTGTCAGCTGTAGTGTGGAACATTTTGAGGATGACAAATCTGGTTACAGAGACGGAACATCTCCCTTGCCAACGCTTTATAAATTGCCCTCTCCCTAGTTCCTACCATCACCACACAATTGGACAGTGGTTCTAAGAGTGTCAGATGCAGATGCTCTCTAGGGAATTTCAGGAAGGACTTCCCCCAATGCATTAATGGACCAGGACTCCCTTTCCTTCGGGGGGGAGGACCAGGAGTCCTGTTCCTTCAATCTCACACAGTCAGCGTGATGCAGAAATGTAGGAGTGCTGTATACCACATAGTGGTGGGATAAACTGGGTAACTCTTTGACTTTCTGTGTCAGCTACATCTGCACTACTTATAGACAGGCTTAAAATGCACACTCACAGCAGCAACTTCAACACCTGCACAAATCTACCTAAAATCAGGCCCCTGAGGCAGCCAATAACATAAAATTGCCAGCAGAGGGTTGTATCCGTCACTGCCATTGTTGGAGTGGGACAGACTTTCATTCATGTGATGGGACGTCTTTCTCTCATTGTCGACCCCCTCCTCCTCTGTGTGCACCTTCAAAATCTGCTCCAGTGGGTTGGGGCATCCTCCAGAACAGATTTTTTTGGGGGGCGGGACACTGCAAGAAAAGGACAGGGAGGGAGACATTTCATTTCGTGAGTGGAATCTCGCTTGTTATTATCATCATCATTTATTTATTTATTTATTTTATATACTGCCCTTGATCCAAGGATCACAGGGCAGTTTACAGTATAAAATTAACACAGAAATACGTAGCATAATAACAAACAATAACAATAACCCCACCACCACACACATAAAAGGCCGTTGCTTAATTAGCCAAAGGCCTGGGAGAAGAGGAGTGCATTTGCCGGTGCCTGGCGAGCCTCTATGGGGTGAGCATCCCTCAAGTGGGGAGCCACTGCAGAAAAGGCCCGTTCTTGAGTTGCCACTCTCTGGACCTCTTGCAGAGGAGGCACACAAAGAAGGGCCTCAGATGATGATCACAGGATCCATATGGGCAGAGGCGGTCCTGGAGGTATTGTGGTCCTGAATTGTTAAGGCTTTATAGGTGAAAACCAGCACTGTGAACTGGGCCTGGAAACTAATTGGCAGTCAGTGCAATTGGACCAGGATCGGTGTCATATGCTCAAACCGTCTTGCCCCAGTGAGCTACCTGGCACTGCGCAGCATTGGATACAACCTAAGATAATAAAAAGCTGACATGACCTCACATTGTTCCAGGGCATTGTGGGGATTTTTGAAATGTCAGCTGGCAGCATGAAGGATCAGGAGGGCACTGGTAATTTTCACACACATCCCAAATGTTACTTCACCCCCAAAATAATTGAAGTTTCCCCCCTTAGCCACTGCTAAATAGGGTGGCAAAACTGGAATATTTCCCTGCAGCTGTGCATCTCATAAGTGGAAGGCAGCTGTGATTTGTTGTGGCACCCTGTTGGCTGTTAACTCAGTGGCAAACCTTAGTGTGCCCCAGAATATTCTACGATTGCCCTTGCTTGAAGCCTTGCCTGGTTGGTTCCTTCATAATTGAATTATTCATGTTTTAAAAGAGCATGGCTTGTACCAGTCAGTGGTTGATAATAACGACAGCTATTTCAAACTAGTTGCATTAATTACCTTTTAGTTCACTCCTGGGTGGTTTTCTATAGGTCTTGTTGCTAAGAGCCTCATGGCTTTTGACAGGACTCTGTTTCTAAAATGAGAGGAAGCTGGGGCTGAAGCTTTTCTAGAGTCGAGGTCTCTGCGCTACAAGCTCTAATCTCAGACTTGAGGTGCAGGGGTGGCTCCTTGTTAATTAAAAAAGGAAGTGCTCTTTTATTTATATTGTACCCCTCACATGTTCTCAAAATGATTTCTGTTTGTGGTTTTTGCACTATTAGTAATGCTGGTGGGGTGTCCGTTTTGCTTTGTTTTTTCAGAAAGGCTTGCAGACATACTGTTTCCTGGTGTTTGCTGTCGCCTGTCTTGCTGGTGCCACTTTCCTTTTCTTTGTTCTGCCTGAAACAAAAAACAAGACTCTTGCTGAAATCAACCAGGCATTTGCCAGGAAGAAGGTGCCTTTAGAAATCCGTGAAATGGACCAGTTTGAAGCCAAGAGCAAATCAATGCAAGAACAAGAACACAACTTGTCTTCTACCCTGGAAAATGGAGAATCCAAAAACAGGATAGTCTAAAATTATTTTTAATAGGAATATTTTTGCATCTTATGTATTGTTAACCACAATCATTCCTTCAGCCTGGACAATTTTTTGATCTCAATGTGGTCATAACCAGGGTTGATCTGTGGTACAGGAGATGGCAAAGTATAATTCAAAATTAACAGAAGGAAATAATGGAGAGGAGGGTTGCTCAAGGAAGTGAAACTGGTCATTGATTCGTTTAAATGTATGCAAATTCAAAACGGATAATTATTTTCTGAGGCAGAGGGTGGTGAGTGGGAAGCAGTTGGTCAAAGGGCACATCAGCATTTCCAATTGGCTGCAGTTTCGGACCTTCCATGCGTATCAGCGATAGGAGGCTGGGTCCATCATTCTTGCTCCAGGCTCCAGGCTCTGGAGTTTGCCACAGGGGGCCCTTTTAGGAATCACTCACCACTCTGCTTCCTTGCTGCTGATACTGTCCGCTGGACCTGGCCACTTACTTGCCACTTCTGGGGCGAGAAGCCTTTGAATGTTTCCTGGTAATATATCCAGTGTCCCCTCAAAATCTGAAGGAGCAGAATCTGCTGTAGTGGAAGCTTCAAAGGCACTAGACAAGGATTAATTTGATCTATGAGAACTGGCTGCCTGGCTACTGGGGGCTGGTAGCTGCAGCCAGTAGCTTCCTGCTGCCTCTCTATAGTGTGGAGCTGCGTGTTCTGTGGGGAGATCAGCTACTCTGAAAGTAATTCCCAAAGAAGTCCTGTAGATGCAAAGTTACTTTGGTGCTTCCATTAAGGGAAAAGTGGCATTTTCCATGTTGATGGTATACAATCTGATCAACAGCTGCTCACCTCTTTGATTGAGCTTGTAGTCGTGTTCAAGGAAGAACTGTTAAACAGGTGACTTTATATGCACTGTGCATGCTAAGGATTTCTTGGACTCTTACACCCAAGTTCATGTTTAAGGAATTATTTGAATCTCAGGTTTTTTACCACCTGCTTAATCCGTGTCATTTCCTACTTTTAAACGAAATCAGGGCCCCACTCTGCTTTTGTGGGCTATTTTTATTCAAGCCAGATTAGAACTTTTAGTGTATCAGAATAGTTTTCATGAAGTGCAGCTGTTTTGTAAATAAAACCAACTGAATCTGTATATATTTTGAAATCTAACCAACAATGTATAGCGTGTGCACTTATCTTCAGCCTGAGCCAGTCCAGGTTTAATCATGTAAATAGTTCATGATTGCGGTGTATCTGATTTAGGCTTTGTGAATTTCTCAGATCATATATTAAGCTTGATAACAGACACAAGATCTAAGAAGCCCAGCATTTCAGAAGAAAGGTGCCACAATAGGTGCCTTGTCTAGATGAAAGGTGTGTCCCTAGCCTGAAATAGCATTGCCAAGGAAGTGGTTTGTATATGAGAGAGAAAGACTTCTGATTTTTTTTACGTTCAATTGTATTGTTGTCTTCCTTTGAATCATATTGATATAAAACTAGGATGATGGTAGTAGATTCATCCTGTTTGAAAAGTACTGCTGATTGGAGATGGAACTTCATTCCATCCATCTATGGTTGTTTTTCGAGTGTGTGTGTTGTCAGTGCTGGGCTTGTTCGTTTACTGGGACCTGGTATGCCTTGAGCCTTGAGAGTTCAAAACAGCCCCAGCGTGACTAGGTTGGGGCCTTGATTAGAAATGTGTGTCCAATATATTAAGATACCTGGATCCATTTAAGGCCACTGGGGTAATTAGGTTTTGTAATACAGCAATTCTATTGAGGGGTAAGATCAATGGTAAAAATAACTTATCTGGGTAATAGATAAGCCTCCGTTGAAACCAGTGTGTAGCATCCTTTTCAGTTCCCTAAAGACTAACAGACCTGTTCTCCCAAGAGAAGTGGAGCTGGCAGGTAAGGGCTTGCAGCAGATCCTTCAATTTCCCAAAGCTTTGGGCAGCTGCCCAACTTTTAATGGGTGTTGGTGCTGTGCTGGCCTTGCCAACTTCAGCATCAGTTACCAACATTAGATGATTCCCTTACCAGACTCAACTGGCAGTCTTGTACTGGGTATGCTGGTGGTCCGTGGAAAGCCATTTTTTCCTCCAGGTCAAATTAATTGTTTTGTTTCCCCATAGTTGTGGGGAAGCTAGATTAAAGCAAGGTGCCATACCTTGTCAAACTCTGTACTTCCCTGTGAATGCTCCCTCCCCACATATTGCCCTAGAGTTGACCAAGTAGGTACCAGGCGGCAGTCTAGATAATTAAGGGGGGGGGAGGAGAAGAAGAGTTTGGACTTGATATCCCGCTTTTTCACTACCCTAGGGAGTCTCAAAGTGGCTAACAACCTCCTTTCCCTTCCTCCCCCACAACAAACACTCTGTGAGGTGAGTGAGGCTGAGAGACTTCAGAGAAGTGTGACTAGCCCAAGGTCACCCAGCAAGAGTTTCACAGGCTCCCAATAATAATCATTGTTACTCATTTTGCTACACATTTCAGCTATGTTCAATTTTTGGGTATGCTGGAAATACCCAATATCTATAAAGAACCTTCTAAGGTCTCATCCTGTTCCTGTGGAGTAGGCAGCCTGCAGCTTTACTTGGTTTTACTCTTTTGCTGACGTAACTTCAACAAAAAGGGACGAATGCGTTGTGGGTATTCTTGTCGGGTGTGCTTAATAGACCACAATGGAACCAATGAATGTTTGTTTTTTATGTTCGGTTATCTTTCGCAAAATTCTGAAAGGCTACAGTCCTACATCTCTGCTTACATGTAAGTAAGCACCATTTCACTCAGTAAGACTTGCATTTTGAGCAGATGGGATTCTGCCCGTTCAGGTTTTTGATTTTTCTGTTCCTTAGCTTCCAGGCTACTCAGGAGCCAACTAAAACCGTAGCACTGGAGCCCAAAAATGATTGGGTCAATATTTTTATTTGATCAATATTACATGTGTGATTCAGGTTATTTATATGACTGTAATCCAGAAAACATTAAAGTATAGCTGCTAATTTTCACTTGTATGGTGCATGTTTTCTCCTGTTTTTGTTTTTCCTTTTTCCTTTGACACACCTTTAAATTATTTCCATTCTGTTTTGGAGGAAAAAACAGCAAGGCATTTAGTGACACTTTAAAAGACTCTGCAGTTGTGAAAGCTCATTGTGCATTCTTTGCATGCATCCAGACTATGGCTGAATTGCCAGTGTTTTGTACTTCCTACATTTCATTTGTCTTCGACTTCATGTCTTACCGTCCTTCACCCCATCCTGGTGTGTGTGCATGTGTGTTTATATGCACACAGCTGCAGATAACACTTGACACACCCAATGAAGCAGATTCTGGCCCACAAAGGCTCATGCCATAATAAATTTGTTTCTGTTCTTATATTATTAAGACTTTTTGTTTTTGCATTCAATTACTGTGACAGTCAGATATGGAGTTGATAAAACCAAGACTTTAAGGCTGAAATCATGCTCCTCATTCCTAATGTGTGCATCTAAAGAATAGGTTGGTGGTGGCGTTGTTTAAATTTGTATTGCACTCCTCCTCCCCAAGGAGCCCTGGGTGGCAAACACACACACACACACAGAGAGCATTTAAAAAATAGTTAAAAATAGTTAAAACATCTAAAAAGAGGTACAGTTAACAGCATTCTTCCATCCAGTGATCTCAGGGTTGCCACGGGTAAAAGGGAATGTTTTCTAATTCCCCCTGAAAGTTAATAATGATGGAAACAAATTCACCAGACCAAGGAAGGCCTCACCTGCTTATTGTAGGGTCCAAGATGGGTTGATATTGAGGAATATGTTATTTTCGGTACTTGAGTCTCAAGCCATTTAGGACCTTAAATGCTAATGCTGTACCAACGCCTTGAATTGGACCCGGTAGCTCATCGGCAGTCAGGGCAGTTCTTTCCAGAACAGTGACACGGTCTCATTGGCGGCCGTGCTGACTGACCCAGGGGCTGCATTCTGCACTAGTTCCCCCTCCCTGCCCCCCAGCCATCTTCAAGTAGTGCAAGTGGAAGGTCTCTCAGGGATGGACAACTGAGGCCAACTTTTCCTGCTCTAGAAATGGCTGTAGTGGGCAAAGCAGTCTCAGTCTAGGCATAAGCACTCCTAGGCACAGAAGCCACTCGAGACTCACAAGTTGGAATCCAGGACCAGACTATGAAGCTGGTTCTTCAAGGGGGGGGGGCAGCCCCTTCCAGAACAGGTCACACATCTAATTAATTCCTGGACATGGGACCCACTCAGCACACTTCCATCTTATCAGGATTTAGCCTCAGCTTATTGCCTCCCCCTTCCAGTCCATCACTGCTTCCAGCGCTCTCCCATCACTGCTCTCCCAATTCCAATGGAACAGAGTGGCATGTCATCAAAATACTGATGGATCTGTGTTCCAGATCCCCAGATGACAGCTCTCAAGGGTGTCCTATAACATAACATGAGACAGAAGGGACCCTCTGCTAGCTGACCATGCCTTCCATAGGGCATTCCAGACTTTTTAATTAAAGCTACTGACAGTTTTGTGTCATTGCAATCTTTTAAATACAATCTCTCCCCCCCCCCCCATCTCATGCCCTGGTTCAACAAAATGGAACTAGGGTATATTTGTTTTGTGAGGGTTGCAAAAAGAGAACATTCTATTGGAGATCATGCCTCTGTGTCTATTAATGTATGCGCGGGGGGGGGGGGCGCGGAGGAAGCTGTACGGCAAGTACTGAAATATATCTGGCCAGCCTGTTATCTGGCTCTCAGCATTACCAAATGCTGATAAAAATAAGAGTTGGTCAAAAGTGATGATGATCGGTTTCATATATAAGGAAAAGAAAATTATGGAGATATTCTGCACTGTGGTCTTTGGTGTGTAAAGCAATTGGAATTAGAAATAAAAATATTATTAGAGATAGAGAGATATAAAAATATATGTGGGGACTAAAATACAACAGTTTCCAAGAAAACATTGTTTTCAAGAGCTCTGTGAGTATAACAGATGCAGAAGGTAACCTTTAACTGCCACTTAACACATGAAAGTGGTTTAACTGGATAGGAATGCTTTAAATGCTTTTAAAATAGTGCTATTTTAACCGTTTAATAGATAAGCTTACAGTGTGAGTGGTTTTTGTTTTTTTACTTTTAAATTGTCAGCTGATGGGAGGCGTTCAGTACTGGGATGATGGTGAGGGGGTCGGTTAACTTTTTACTCCTGCACCATCCCAAAGCTGCGTAATTGGCGCCACTAGCGGCCTCCTCTTTTACCAAATAGCAGCTTCAGAGGGGGATGGGGGGGAGAGAAAGAGTTCACACCCCATGGCCAAAGTCCTCAACCCTTCTGTTTTGTTTTTTTAAATGATATTTATTACTTTTCCAACAATTTAAACACAACACTACAGAGAGAAAAAAAGAACAGAACAATACAATACAATACAATACAAATACACTACATAACACTGACACGTTAAACTAACTTAACCAAACAAAAACAGTTTAAAACACATCAAACAATTTCAGTATCTTTCATTCACTTATTTCCACGACCTCCTCACACCTCCCTTTTTGTATTCCACTTCTATTAGTTATTTCAGCAATTCCTTTCCATCTTCCTCTGTTTTCTATCCTATAATTGTCTTAACACATTCTAACCTTATTTTTCCCTTAATATTCTATTAATCTATTTGTACTTAATTCCTTATAACATTTCTACTAAAGCCATATCGCTTCATTCCAACATTCTTCTAACATTCATTAATTTTACAATGTTTCTGTAAATAGTCTTTAAACTTTTTCCAGTCTTCTTCCACCGACTCTTCTCCCTGGTCTCGGATTCTGCCAGTCATTTCCACCAGTTCCATATAGTCCATCAACTTCATCTGCCATTCTTCCCTGGTGGGTAAATCTTGTGTCTTCCAATACTTCGCGATGAGTATTCTTGCTGCTGTTGTAGCATACATAAAGAAAGTTCTATCCTTCTTTAGCACCAATTGGCCGACCATGCCCAGGAGAAAGGCCTCTGGTTTCTTCAGGAAGGTATATTTAAATACCTTTTTCATTTCATTATAAATCATCTCCCAGAATGTCTTAATCCTTGGGCATGTCCACCAAAGGTGAAAGAATGTACCTTCAGTCTCATTACATTTCCAACATTTATTGTCGGGCAGATGGTAAATTTTTTCAAGCTTGACTGGTGTCATGTACCACCTATAAATCATTTTCATTAAATTTTCTCTTAGGGCATTACATGCCGTGAATTTCATACCTGTGGTCCATAACTGTTCCCAGTCAGCCATCATTATGTTATGTCCAACATCTTGTGCCCATTTAATCATAGCTGATTTCACCATTTCATCCTGAGTGTTCCATTTCAACAGCAAGTTATACATTCTTGACAAATTCTTGATTTTTGGATCTAACAATTTTGTTTCCAATTTTGATTTTTCCACCTGGAAACCAACTTTTTTGTCCAATTTGTATGCCTCCATTATTTGATAATAATGGAGCCAATCTTGCACTTTGTTTTTCAGTTTTTCAAAGCTCTGCAATTTTATTCTGTCTCCATCTTGTTCCAGAATTTCCCAATATTTCAGCCATTTGGCCTCCATATTGAGTTTTTTCTGTGCCTTCGCTTCCATTGGTGACAACCATCTTGGGGTTTTCTTTTCTAACAAATCCTTATATCTTATCCAAACATTAAACAATGCTTTTCTAACAATATGATTTTTAAACGCTTTATGTGCTTTTACCTTATCGTACCACAAATATGCATGCCAACCAAATGCATTATTGAAACCTTCTAGATCCAACACTTCAGTGTTTTCAAGAAGCAGCCATTCTCTCAGCCAGCAAAAAGCAGCTGATTCATAATAAAGTTTAAGGTCTGGCAGGGCAAATCCACCTCTTTCTTTGGCATCAGTTAATATCTTAAATTTTATTTGAGGCTTCTTGCCCTGCCAAACAAATCTAGAAATATCTTTCTGCCACTTCTTGAAACAATCCATCTTATCCAAAATTTGCAATGTTTGAAACAAAAATAACATCCTTGGCAACACATTCATTTTTATCACAGCAATTCGGTCTAACAATGATAACTTCAAATTTGTCCATACTTCTAAATCCTTTTTCACTTCAATCCAACATTTTTCATAATTATCCTTAAATAAATTCACATTTTTGGCAGTCATGTTAACCCCTAAATATTTCACTTTCTTAACCAATGTTAGTCCTGTCTCCTCCTGAAACTTCTCTCTCTCATTCACAGTTAAATTTTTCTCTAAACCCTTAGTTTTCATCTTATTCAACTTAAAACCTGCTACCTGTCCGAATTCTTGAATCAGTTCCAATACCCTTTTAGTACTAGGTTCTGGCTCCTCTAAAGTCAATACTAAGTCATCAGCAAATGCTTTCAGTTTGTACTGTTTAGCTCCCACTTGTATACCTTTAACCCCTTGGTCCTTTCTAATCATATTTAACAAAACCTCAAGGACCGATATAAAGAGCAATGGAGAAATTGGGCAACCTTGTCGTGTCCCTTTCTCAGTCTTAAACTCTTCTGTCACCACATTGTTCACAATTAATTTTGCCTTTTGTTCTGAATAAATTGCACCTATACCATTTTCAAAACCTTGACCTACCCCCATCCCCTGTAGATTCTTCTTCATAAAACTCCAAGAAATGTTGTCAAAGGCTTTCTCTGCATCCACAAATATCAAGACTGCCTTAATATTGATATTCACTTGTAATCTTTCTAGAATATTAATTATATTCCTCGTATTGTCAGACAAATGTCTGCCCGGGAGAAAACCCGCTTGGTCTTTATGAATTTCTTCTGCTAACACCTTTTTTAATCTTTTAGCCAAAATATCTGCAAAAATTTTGTAGTCCACATTAAGCAGCGATATAGGGCGGTAGTTCTTAAGCTGTGTCTTTTCAGTCTCTATTTTCGGTATAAGTGTGATGTAAGCTTCCTTCCACGACTCTGGTGCCTGTCTCCCTTCCAATATTTCATTGCAGACTTCCTTCAATGGTTGTATTAACCATTCTTTCAAAGATCTGTAATATCTTGAAGTCAAACCATCTGGTCCTGGAGATTTACCTAATTGCATGTTCTGGATAGCCCCTTCCACCTCCTGATCCGTTATTTTATAATTCAACATTAGCTGTTTTTCCTGAGAGAATTTGTGTAGTCCATTTATTTTCAAAAATCGATCAATGTCCATTTCTTTCTGCTTCTCCTGTGTATAAAGTTGTTTAAAATTCCTCTGAAAACACTTCCTGATCTCCACTGGATTCTGTATGTTCTTTCCTTCCACTTCCAAATTCGTAATAGTATCAAGTTTTTGTCTTTTTTTCATTTGCCAGGCCAACAATTTTCCACACTTGTTTGCCGAT